AGGGAAATCATTAGGGAGACCTAGAGACTTTAAAAAAATCTATCCTATATGCAGAGACCCATAGAATCATGTGCCTGGATCTGAAGTCACCGAATCTAAAACTTTAGAAGTTGCATAACTCTGCAAGTTAGGGTCTTTCTAGCTCTGAAATTGATTGTGTGTTTGAGTGGTTTCATTGCAGATCGAGTTTTCTGTGGAGGAATGGATACGTTTGTACAGTCAGCTAGTTATCTGTTAGCTGGAGCTGAAAGCCTTTTTCAAATATTTTGAAACCATTGTATTTAAAAGCTATGCCTTTTTCTCTACTTATTTGATAGGTTTAGGATGCTAATATACTCTTTGTTCCGAATGGAAGCTAAATAAGATTTCATTTTTACTTTCCGTTACTAAGGATTATTTCTTGTCATAGTTATCCTCTGAGCATAAAATAGACTTGAAAATTTTTTCCTCAGCATTGCTTTTTTGTTTGTTTGTTTTTTCCAGAAACAAACTGTAGCTGTGATCCAAGGAGTGACAGCTGTAGTTACTGCTTCCATACCTGTAGTAGATGAAAATGTGAACTACAAAGCTCTTCTAGAATGTGTTCTTATATTAAATGGTAGGTACTTGTCTATCACAGACTATGGCTTTTTATTGTTTTTTAGCAGATAAGTATACTAGGTTTTTTGTTTAAATTCTGTTTCATAGTTCAGTTAGGTAAAAGGACAAAAGTTCTTGCTGCTATGAGTTCTTACTTATGACACAAAATTAAGGGATGTTTACTTAAAAATCAGTGACGTAGTCTAAAAGATGGAATTTAAATATTTTTCCCCCGTCTGTACGCTCAGTGATAACTGTTCTTATTCTTATTATGGCTTATAGTATTTTTAAAGAAAAGCTTAAGATTCCACTGTTATTGATCCAATAACTTGACCAAAAGCTTGAAATTAACATACTTGCCTAGATACCCACAACATGAATAAGTCATTAAGATATATAAATGTGGAAAGAGCTAGCAGATGTTGTGAAATACACTTAGGGTACTGCCAGACTAGTATGTTACAGGAATAATATTATTCATTGCAGTAAAATAATTACTTTATACTGTTGTAGGTATTCTTCCTGCATTACCTGAATCTGAAGAAATCCTGCAGGGTGCTATCCAACGTCTATGTGAAATGTGGTGGGAAAAAGGACTGGAAGGGAAAGAACAACTAGGGAAAACCATATTTATTATACTGCTAAGAAAAAGCCTGAGTAAAGCTGCTACGGTATGGTGAAACTGTGTTGACTTTTAAATTATTATTGAATATTCTAAGCAAGGTAACTGCTCAAAAATATTCTTTTCTCAAATTAACTTGTTTCCACTGTCAAAGTGCTTTTCAATTAAATGGTTCCATGGAATGCATATGGTTTACAAAGTGTCTTTGGGGTTGCTTGCATAGACAACGTTTTAAAATGTTGTCTTCTCTAGAATAAACTTTAAAGATTTTTACTATCAATATCACAAATGAACTGTTACTTTACAGTCTTTTTTAATTCACTCATTTCCAAAGTCCAGTAACCAGGGTTTCAGTAGCAATTAGCACTTTGAGTTAATTCAGATTTGAAGTACTATGCTCAGCAACTTATGCAGAATTCATAAGTGGGAGGCTTCATTTTTTGTTACTCTGTATCACTTTACAAATAACTTCTTTTATTTATTTCTCTGATAATTGATTGAAATGCTTTTTTTCTCATTAGTGAGTTACTTAGCGCAAAATGACGTGCTTCTTTTGCACTAATACAATATGTCTCTTTTGCTCGTTCTTTTATTTTTCCATATTAACTGCTCTCTTTGCATAAAATTTCAGAAGTGGGATAATACAGGTTTTATCCATTTTTGTATGAAATGTCAGCTTTTTTTCTGTACCTTAGCACACCTTAAGTTATTGGAAGTCAGTGTTTCTGCAGTTATGCATTTTTTTCTTCTTTTCCCTGTAATAGAAGTGAAAGTCGATGAAAGTTCTTAATTTTGCAGTCTGAAAGTCTTCTAATATCTGTACCAATGCGTTTCAAATTCACTGTAAAAAAAATCCTGCACTTCAAAGGTATACCTACTTCCCTACAACACTGGCTTTTTTTTTTTCTTCCCCTGTCAGGGTGCAGATATAGTTCGTCTATGGAATCTACATCAGACATTACTTTGTTTTGATTACGACTTAGAGGACAGTAATGAAGTCAAGGACTTGTTGCTTCAGTGTTTTATGAGTGTTAAACACATTAAGAAAGAAGAGGTAAGCAAAATTTTATTCTGCTGTACGTTTCTGTGGTTGGGTTTTGGTTACTTTTAATGGTTTTGCATTAAGCTTCTTTTTAAGATGTCGTATATAACAATACCAGAGAAATTAGCTCTGATTCCCAGCTCTGAACAGCTAATACTTCTGTGTTTTTTTTTTTTTTGAAAAACCTTTTTTCTCTTTCCTGACTAAAATGTAAGAGTATTTATCTAAATCATCACTCACGTTCTTGTGTCCTGAGTTAATAAGAACCAAGTGCTTTGCTCCCAGTGCATCTCCCTCAATACTTGCAACCATCCCCTGTTATAATTCTCTTTTTATAGAAGTCTTTCTTTTCTTGGGGACACATAACTAGCAAAAAAAATTTGCATCTAAATGATTCCATGCCACAATCTGTTTTAGCAGTACCATAAGATGAACCTAGCTTAACAGCAAAAGATCATTACTGTGTTTTTGACTTCCTAAACTTCTCTCAGCCTCAGTGAAGAATTGCTATATTATAATCTTTAGTTTGTGGTGGTACACCAAGGTAGTAGTACCCAAGCTTTCTTTCTGGTGAGATGACCAAACGATTGGTTCAGTCGTTGGCTGAGAAATTCTAACTGTTCCTTGTCTATTTGAAATACATCTGTTCGCTTTCATGGACTATAGGTACTTCTAATATAAAATGAGCTCTCAGATTACTCCATGATTGTGGCGTTGTGGTCATGTGGGGCTTTAAAAATGGTGGTAGGGAAGAATGTAAATAATTGAGAATTAAGTATGTAAAATGAAACTGTGTTATCTAAGTTTCAGCAACAACCTGTAGACAGTTTTTCTTTAAGATATTGTGTGGTTTTGTGTGCGTGTGTGGTTTTTTTTTTAATACAAGCTATGTCAAATATTACTGGTTTTTTTTTTCTGAAGAAAGCTTGCAGTCTTTGGGTGAAACATTCTTGCTAGTATGAAACTGCATTTTTTCTAATAAAAAAAGTAAAAATTAGAGTTGGTAATGAATCTTTTTCTTAGCATATCTTTAGAGAGTCCCTTTACTGACCCACAAAACATGCAGTTTTGTTCACGCTTTTCAGTCTTACTTTTCTGCCAAAACTAAAAAAAAAAAATCTTTCCCCCCCCCCCCCCAATAGATTCACTAGAATCCTCCTCTCTTGACATTTTGTGACATTTTCTTCTTATACCTACCTCTTTATGGGCGTATATAGAGAGAGCATTATTACACTCTTTGACCTGGCATACGGTTCTTAGTGGTTTAAATCCTTAATCCTGAATGATTAGCTTTATTGCTAGAAAGATTGACTGAAAGTAGCTGCCACCAAACGAAAGCTGAATTTGCATTCTGTTAGTCCATCCGGTGCTTCTTGATGAAGGTGAAAGATCTAAACGAGGGTTTACAAATATAGACCCTTACTGATAGTGTCCAAACTTGTCATCTCTCCATTAAACTACTAGTATTTCCTGCCAAGTATCATTTCTGGGTGCTGAAAAATTTGAGGGGGCTTGGGGAAGCTTTCTTAGTTCCGGAGAATAATTTGTTAATATTGCTGTGGTCTGTCTTTTAGCCTGAGCGTCTTTACAAAAAGCCGTGGATGTTACTGGTGCTGCTGACAGGTTCACAGTTGCTGTGCCAGGTTCAGTTCTGGACCTGAACTTCTGCTGTTGTAGATTATGGTGGTGCACAGAACTTCACAGGGGATGTCTCTTTTCAGGGTTTGCATCTCTTAACCTCCAAGCCTGATACGGTGTGCGATTTACAGTCAAGGATGCTCGGGCTGTTTTGAGATTTTTTTTTCCTTTTTTTTTTTTTTTTTGATTGCAAATAGGAATGTTCTGTTTCATCATGAAACTTAAGCGATGATGGAGGGGAAATAGTATTTGCTTCTCCTAATTTTTCTGAGTATTCCCAAGTAAGTGATGTTGCTGAACATCAATGTTAGAATTATAGAGGTTGAAGTTGGAAGGGACCTCTGGAGAACGTCTAGTAGTCCAAACCCCTGCTCAAAGCAGGGTCAACTACAGCAGGTTGCTCAGGACCTTGTCCAGTCGTGATTTGAACAGCTCCAAGGATGGAGACTGCAGTGTCTCTGGGCAGCTTGTTCCGGAGTTGGATCACGCTTACAATAAAAATGTTTTTCCTTATGTTTAATTTAAATGTAATTACTTATATTTCAGTCTGTGTCATTGTCTCTTAACGCTGTCACTAAGAGAAGCCTAGGAGTTTGCCTCCATCTTCTTTACTCCCTCCCATCAGACGTTTATCCACATTGATAAGATTCCCCCTCCCCCCCTTCTCTTCTCCAGGTTAAGCAATCCCAGCTCTCTCAGCCTTTCCTCATTGGACAGATGCTCCAATTCCTTAATCGCATTCACGGCCATTCAACATGTCCATATCTCTCCTGTACTGGGGCCCCCAGCACCGGATACATCACTCCGGATATGGTCTTATCAGCACTGAGGAAAGGGAAAGGATCACCTCCCTAAACCTGCTGGCAGCACTAATGCAATTCAGGATACTTTCGGCCATCTGTCAGCACAGGCTTATTCTTCCTCTTGAACTTCATGAGGTTCCTGTTGGCCTGTTCCTCCAGCCTGCCAAGGTCCCTCTGAATGGCAGCACAACCATCTAGCATATAAATCGCTCCTCCCAGTTTTGTATCCTCTGTAAACTTGCTGAAGGTGTACTCTGTCCCATCATGCAGGCCATTAACAATGATGGTAAACAGTACTAGACTCAGTATTTACCCAGGGGCACACCACTAGTGACTGGTCTCCGGCTGAACTTTTTTTTGACCTGATATTCAAACATGTGCAAAAGAATCCATGCAGCACTTCTGAAAAGGCAGTGCAGTGGCAAGTCATATCTCCCCCTTCCCCCAGCTTCCATTTGGAAAATGTCTTGCCAACTCTAGTGCTATATGTTAGAATATTGCTACAGTCAGGCAAGCTTTTTGTATCATCAGACAAGGCTTTTTCAGTCAGTCACTGAGATAACCTTTTTCGAGGTAACCCTTTTTTGGTCCTGCGCAGTTTACAGGATGTTTAGTTCACCTTAGCACCTTGACAGATCGCTGAAGAAATTGCAATAAAACTTTTCTGCTTCTGTTGCAGGTCCTTCTGTTTTGGTGAACTCTCTCAAAACAGAAAATCCCAAAAGTTTAGTATTAGTGGCAACGCTCCTCATGAGTGCTGGTTTCCCTGTCTGAGTCATTTGGCTAATGATAGATTTCTTGCAGCAACATGTCCAGCATTCACTTTCTATCTCTGCTGACCTTTTTCTTACCTTCTGCATCTGTTTAGCGAACTGCTGAAAGTCATAGCTAATATCAGCGTGATGACTGAATTGCTTTGAAACCAAACTGAACTCTTATACGTTAGTGCTAATATTCCATAAGAGAACGTTCCCTACTGCCTGCAGGTTTGTTCCACAGTTCCTAGCAAAAGTATATCTCATTATTTTTAGAGTACACATCCTGGGATGCAGCTCTATAGCGCCTTAGGACAATGTAATTCCAGGCCGCAGTGGTTCTGTGTGGCCGTGAGCTAGCATTCTTATTTTTCTTCTCCCCAGCATGCCTTGGGTCAATTCAAGGAGCTAGCTGATTAGCTTTTTTCCTCATAGGATCAGTTTTCAGCCAGATTAACTCCCTGAACTGATTCATCCTATGCAAATGTAAAGGGAATGGGAGGATCAGGAATATGGTAGCCTGGTTTTAGATCAGCTTAAGTTGTTATGGAATTGTATGTTTATGTTTCATTGAAAGATCTGGGAGTTCAAATTTTCTGCCTTCCCAAACTGTGCTATTAGCACAAATGTTTCTTTGAGGCTTACTTTCAGGCTGCTTTGATGGAGTGACCTTCTGAATGTATCTGTGTGATTTGTGAATACATCCCTATTCAGGTGGTGTTTCCGCTCGAACAGCTTGAGAACTCAGCAGAAAATAAATTATTGTTGTGTTCTCTCTTTTTCCTTAATAATATCTTGTGTGTGTATATAACTGACAATCACAATGTATTATGTCCACAGGCACAGCAGTATGACATGCTCTACACAGTGTTTAGGTACCAACCCTAAAGATGACAAGTTCACAGTCTCTTAAATCTCCTGTCACCAGTGTACCTCCTAGGATATTGAAAATGTTAACAGTAATTGTTTTAGATCAGTGGGTCACAAGCATCAGATTAAATTAGAGGTGTTCACCATCATTCTTAGGACTAGGGTCAATCTGTTGAAATCTAAGGCAAAAAAGAATTGTTGAACTGAACTGAGTACAGACTTCAGTTGGATGCCTTCATCATTTAATGGAACGGAAAGCTACTTTTTGCCTTTTTTTCGTTTGGCTTGCTGCCATGACTGTAGAATTTGAGGCCAAGTAGAGGCTTCAAACTCTTGTCGTCTTTGCCTGGTTGAGACAGGAGCTGTTGGTCAAGATTCTCATCCCTGACAAGTAGGAAGGTCAAGCTGATGGAGAGTGCGCTACTGGGACTCTGATGTATGTTGTACCTCCACAGTTGGAGATGAGCGGCTCTTTTTATTCAGTCTTTCTTTCTTGACAGAAGAAGCTCTTATCAACAACTGGAAAGACTCCACTAGAGTTGCAGGCAAGGATCTTAACACTGTATTTAGCCTTTAGGTCTTGATGCTAATGGTTTTCTGAATTCTTGCTTGACCTGAAGGCATTTAAGCTATCAATTCCACTAAAGGCCAGTTCCTGCCTATATTTTTCCTTCCCTCTAACCCTCCTCTGCAATATTCCAGGTCAAAGTGCATCTGGCATTATCTTTATTAGAGACCCTGTCTTATAGTTCTGAGCATAACTGTTGGTTATGCTCTTGGTGGGAGCACCTTCGAACTTCTGCTAATTGATCAGAGTGGTTTTCGAACTTCTACCACGTTGTTCTTTATTATCACAGTTCCATATGAGTTTTCCTGATTACTTTGGCTAGAATGCTGAAAGGTATACAGGGTGTTTACAGCTGGCTGACTTGCCCTTAGATATGATGGACCTTTTCAGAGAGTCTCACAAGCTGGATACCTTCACTGTAAGGATGACCCAGAGCTAGACATACCTGTGTAGATACTCACACTCACTGTAGGCTCCAGTTCCATGGGCTGATCTCACTGATTCCAAAAGGACACATTTCCTCCGTCCACAGCTTTCCACTCCCTTATCTAATGAGCAACAGACCTGTTGTGAGGAATGTCATTGCTACTTCTAACTTGCTAAAATGAAAGAAAATTAATGCAGGAAGGCAACTGGATAGTTTTCTGCTGTTTTCATAAGTTAAAGCAGCTCCAGAAGGTCTGCAGTAGTACTTTTTATGAGATAATATGAAAGGAATTGCCTTTGCTTATCAGAACATTTATTTCAGTCTGTGGCCTACCTGTTCTCTGCAGCTTTGCTCAATAGTATTTCCATTATCTAATGCTGGCTGAATTGTCAAGCTGTTTTATTTGTACCTTCACCAAGCACTTCACCATTACAATGTCATCTTGGAATGATATTGCACTTGGCAGAACTCTGATGAGGTGGCTTTGAGGAGGATTCTGAGCTGCACAGTCCCTTGTTATGGAATACTAGTTGAGGTCACCTCCCAAAAAAATGGACATGGAAAAAAAAAAAAAAACCCAGACAGATATGTAGTTCACGTGTTCATTTATTTCCTGCTTTCTCTTCAGTGTAAATAAAAGTAGTACTGGAATTTATGTTTAAAAAAAATAAGAATCCTGTTGTTTTTTTCTGTCAGCAGTCTATAATCTATGCCTTTTAAAAGTATCATTTCATTTGACCTTTAAACTCTGTATTTACTCTTTTTTTTTTTTTTTTTTTTGCCATTTACCCCTCTCAACAGGGAAGAAGATTCTTGAGTTTTTTATTCAGCTGGAATGTGAACTTCATTAAAATGATCCATGGAACTGTTAAAAACCAATTACAATTTTTTCCAAGGTAGGCATCACCAGTGTTCTTAATGAGCATTAAGAGCTTGGCTAAAATTTTCTTTGTCTCAAACTCTAAAATACTTAGTATGTTGAGAGAATATATCTGAATCCATACACCTACAAATCTGCTGAGTATAACTACTGTATTGTTTCAACAATTTCACATAATAGCTGCCTTGCACATACCTATGTATAATTATAGGTGTAACTAAATGCTTGTTTAGCCTTATCTGAAGCAAACGGCTTTCCTATAAACTGTGCTGCATTACTTGCAGTGCTTGTGTTAGAGAATTGCAGGTTCTGGTACTGCTTCTGTAAGATATTTTTATTTTTTATTGTATGTCTGTGTATATATATGTATAATATATATAATTTATGTATTTTTCCTATGGGCAATGTCTAATTTAATTTGGTAAGATGCTGTACAGGGATATACTAACGAGAAGCAACTTGAAGGATCATAGCCTGAGAACTTGACTGATGGATAATAACATGGATTTTTTTTTTCCTTTGATTATTCAGTGAAATGTTACATAAGTAATTCTTCATATTAAAATCAGAGGCTTTCTAAGGCTTTTGGTTAGAATAGTGTCTATCCGTACATCTTTATTAACAATTTATGATTTCATTATGAGATAAATGCTAAAATAGCTGAGCTAATTTTTTTCTACTAGAAGAGATTTTTCCTGGTTTTTCTTTTTTCTCTAGTACTTTGGTTCATTAATTAACAATTAACTTTATTTTTCTAGAAATTTCCATGCAGACTTTCAAAATATTTTCTTCTTCTAATAACAATGCTGATATGCAGAATTAAAAATTACAGTAATCTTTATTACTTATCGTAAACTTCATGTTGTTACCTTATTGAAAGGTATATAGGTATAATTAAGAAGTTGATGGTGTTTCTTATTTATTAATATAGATCCTTGATGGCATACGTTTCAGAAGTTTACTTCAGAGCTTGGAAGAAGGTGTCAGGAGAGATCTTAGAGGTAATACTGTGCTTGAACTCACATTTGAACTGTTTTGAATTTCAAGGTATTAATGCATATGAATTCTCAACCTCAGAAGGGTTCCTAAGCAAGCCTGAGGGGATTCTGTCCTAATGAAAAAGGTCTCTTCAGCATGGTCAAGGAATAAAAGGAAGTCACACTATGAAAGTTTGGCCACTGTGTTTGGCTTGCTTGCACTTAAGTGCTTTTAATTCTGCCACTGAAACATTCCTTTACGCAATTTGTATATACGCAAATAATTTTAAGCACAGTAGTTATCTGAGTAGCAGAAGCTTTCATTCAGCACTTGCAAGCCTCTATATAGCATAGCTTAGATATTTATCTAGTTTTTGTGGATCTGCATCAAAATGATCAAAAGTATAATCACAACATCAGAGCAATGCCCCAGCCAAATTTCAGATACCAGTAACTCTTATTTATAAAATGAGTACATTTGAATACTAAACTTTGCTTTGAGAGTTTGATGAATTGCATATACTAAAATTCTAAAAATCAGTTCATGCTGACCTAGCATGACCTAGTATCAAGCAGAAGCCAAATAATAAATAATATCAAAGACTATTTTCAGTTGTTTATACTGGGGAAAAATACAAGTTGTTGGAAAGTCTGAAATACTCACAATGATTAATGTTTCTATATGCGTTTTTACTGTAGATACTTGAACATAACTGTATTCAAGACTTCATGCATCATGGAATACACCTTCCTCGAAGTTCTCCTGTTCATTCTAAAGTGAGAGAGGTAAGTTCCTGTAAGACATGACATGAATTGGTAGCATCAAAATCAAATCAGTTACTATAAAGTGAAAACTTTCATCTCATACTAAAATACTTTTCACTATTCTCCTAATGAAGTCTATGCAAAAATAGCAGTGATCCTCCATTAATCCTGGGTTAGGTCTATCATTCTCATGTATAAATAGGATTTACATAGTCTCTGATAAATGATATCATGCGTTCAGTTCATTTCAAAGCCAGAGAAAAGAGAGATTCTTCCACTATATCAGATTCTTGCACTATAGCATTGTTTCTGTAAATTCCTTTCACAGACTTTCTATGGCTAGCTGTAGCTGTGAATACCTGAAATATTCAGAGCTGTGACTTCGAAGCTGGGCCTTCTTTTCAAATTGTCCGTTGTATCAGATGGAGGGTTTATTTTATGTCAAGTTATATGAGGTGCTTTCTCTTTTTCTGCTCTATTTCTTGGCTTTATTTTTTTCTTCATAATTCAGATATGAAAATAGTGCAGGCTTTAGCTAACTAAGCACAGGTTTTAAAAAGTTCTGAGTCGCAAGGAGCATTGATGCTTGCTTTTCATCAGTGCATATGTACATGTATTACATTTGCAGATTTTTATTTGGATAACTCCAGTTACTAGGTAATGTTCCTTCCTTCATTTCAGAAAAATAAGTACTTTATCTCTAGCTGATAATTGCATGATTTTCAAGTATTTCTACCAATCATTTTACAAATAGAGTTATTTTAGTTTCACATCAGCTATTTATTTCCTTGTTAAACTTAATCTGTAGCTATGATTTTCTTGCTTAATTTTAGATATCTGTATAGCTTTATTGAATCAATAAAAAGGGATATTTATTAGACCTATTTTTTTGACTTTTCAAAAAAATACAAGGTCAATTAATATGTCTAGTTTTATCGTTGTCCCTAATATGCTAAACCCATTGGTCTTATGTGAATGATAGGTGAGACTAAAAAAAACCTCACCTTTCTTGGGTTTTGAAAACACTGTACAAGCACATAGAAATTTTCTTTTCTTTACAGATGCTGAGTTATTTTCATAAGCAAAGTAAAGTTCGTCAAGGAGTTGAAGAAATGCTGTATAGGTTATATCAACCTATCCTTTGGAGAGCACTGAAGGTAATTATCCTTTTCAGAATGTAGGGCTGTCTTTCTCCAGTGACCAATTTTTGGGTTCCCCTTCTCCTGTTCTGTTTTAATTGCCTTCAAAACAAAATGGCTATGGGAAAAAATTCAGTGTGTTGATTATCTTGATTGTATCAAAGTAACCTTGCAAGTTTATATGAACTAATTTATGTTAATGTAATTTGTTTCTATAATTCAGTTTTGTTTACAGGTTTCTGTGCTATTCTTATTTCTACAGGGAGTTCTTTCTAGGATTGCAGTTGACTGTGGGGCTAACACTGCTTTTGTTTGTCTGAACTTTTCAGTCTGGGAATGTTGTGTAATGTTATATTCTGTTTTCGGAGCTCTCTTTGATGCACAAATGATCAATGCTTCATTGATCAAGGCCAGAAATGTCCACAGGATTATTCGGTCTTACCTTCTGTTTAGTACCATCCTTAGAATGTAACTAAGTTATTTTATTTGTGTTAGAGCATTACTTTTAGATAATCTTTTATGCTACTCTGATTGTATGTATGAAGTGTATACTGTGGATGTGCACTTATTCAAGCATTCAGATTGAAATTTCTGTCTTCTAGTACTTTTAAGATAAGTTATATGTCTTCCTGAGGATTGCATGCATAGACTAAAAGGTATCTGATGCCATTTGCTAATGCCACTTTACTAAGAAGTTGAGCCAAGCTGCATTCTTTGTCAACAACTTTTATTTTGTTTGAGGTTATGAACTTCCTTCAGTAAGAGCATGTGTACCGTTTGCCACCAGGATAAGCGATTGTACATGTCACGGTCATTCTAATAAGCTGTTATATTATCCTCATGGAAGATGAGTAGGATTCTTTTTTTTTAACTAGTCTAAGATTCCATCCACTGGATTTTATTAAATCTTTGTTAAATGAAGCAGGCCTTCGCTAGCAAATTTTATATGTTTGCAGATGAACTAAAGTCATCCTGTAACCTGTGCTTTAAGCTAAATGGAAGACTCTTGTACTATATAGCATGATTGTTTTAGGTCCTTTCCTCATTGTCTTGATAATTCTAAATCTCTAACTTTTCGACATCCTTCTTGATATTGTCTTGATTTTCTGTGGATTGTATGCAGTAGTCTTACATTCTTTGCTCTGAGATATTTTCCTCCTCTAGACTGAACTAAAGTCCCCTGCCTGCTTTACATTGTCACTGTTTACACATCTGAAGAAGAAAATCATTACTGAGGGATTTTGCAGATATTTTCTTCTAGTTCATTGACCTATAAAAAAAATTTCAAACTAAGCAATGCTGTCTAAACTTTACTCTTTCCTATCCCGTCTTTTGTATTTAAAAGTACTCATAGTAAACCTCATCAAGAGTTCGTTATACTTCTAACAGAGCTGTAAAAACTGCAAAAATTAGCCTGGAGGTGCTGAAACTGTCTGTGCTTATCATGCTTCAGATTATTTTGTTTTGTGGGATCACTTTTTGAATCTTACCTTAAAACTGTAAGATGTCAAGACAATCTTTATTTCCTCCTCTCCCTCGCTCATTGGGTTTGTCTTCCTGAGTGCTGCTGTGCCACTCAGACTCACAAACGTGTACTTCTTAGTATCTTAAAATTATTTTAAAGCAATTTTTGTTTGTACAGTTATAAACTGCCCATGCTGTGTAGATGTGCTGACCTAGCAGTGTCCTATTCTTCAGTTAAATCTAAATGAAAACACGCCACTCATGTTCAACCAGTAGTGTGTGTGTTTAAATTTTTTTGACCAGCGGTATTATGCAAAATACTTGTATCCTCACTTGCAATATGCGGGGCATACGGATTGTTTTCTGTAAAGCAACCATCCAGCTAATGTAAAGCAACTAATCCAATTGTGTAAATCAAGGCTGACAGCAAACTACCTTAGTCTCCTCTTAATACTTGTATAAAATATTTGTCAATTTTTGTTTCTGTATTCCCAGAAAACCATATTTTTTGGAAGGATCTGTATCAAGGTATAAGCTTACACCAGCTTTGGGGGAACGTTTCTAAAGTGTAAAACAATTTGTTATCGCCAAGTACTGCATCTAACATTTACTGCAGCTTTGTTTACTGACTAATCTTGCAGCATGTTTTCTAGCCGTGAGAGAGCTATTTAATAACTACTATGTTGTTTAAGATTGACTTTATGGGTTGCAGAAAGGAGTTGAGAGAGTTTGATTTGAACTGAACCCTCTGCCTGAAGTGAGCAGATGGACAGACTCGTGTCTAGACCAGTATCTTGTTTGGTACAGAAATTAGCTGAGGCAAAGGTCTTGCATTAAGGTTTGAATCCCACCCCTTAAAATTACTGTAAGCAAGCATCCTTCTGGATGCAACTAATATCCTCAGTGCAAAAGATTAATAGCTGCAAAGCATGTCTGTCTTTCATTTCTACATTTCTATCTTTAAAAAGAAGAGATTTTTAAATTGATTTTGATGCCAGGGGAAAATTTGTCTAATATCTTTAAGAGTGATTTCAGTGATTAGCAAAACATGGCATTCCATTGTTAAGGGACTCACTGCCCATAAATGAGATGATAGTTCACTTTCCAATGCCCAAGATTCAAATATAAGATCAGAGTACTTCAGAAGAACGTTCTGTTAAACCTTTGTGAAGCTACATAGGCTTGTTTGCAGATGTTTAATGAAAAGTTTTGGCTGGAGAAAAAGGTTAATTGTTAATTTGCAGCAAGACACTGGGAGAAAATCCAGATTCTAGAAGTGGTTCAAATTTGTAACAGCTGTTATTCATAGCTTTCAAAAGCTAATGGTTCAATTGTTAGAACAAATATCAGAGGCCCATCTGCATTTTTAGGTTTTTTTTTTTTTTTTCTCACCTTGACAGCTTCTGTCTAGGGAGTTAAGCACTTTAAGCTTTGAAGTTAAGAGGCATACTTATTAGTCATGGAGAATTTTTTTTTTTTTTTTAAATATAGCAAAATAGACCAATTCTTGCGAACATGGATTTCAGAACGGTACAGGGCGGGTTGTAAAAGATTGAATGTAGCAATTATATGAATCATGTAATGATTCAGTGCGAGGGAGATTCTGCATTCCTAATGATTCAGTAAAATATTTGTGATCCTTTAAAAGAAACGTGTGACTGAACATCAGAACTTGGTAGTTTATTTCTGGATATACCACTGACTCGCTATGTGACTTTTGTATAGATAGTTAATTTTCCTTTTTCATATGTTACTGCTGAAGTATATGCCTTTTAAAGAGGACCATTTCTGTGACTCAGAATCTCAAGTACTTTAGGATACAGAAGTAAGATGGAAAACTTGTAATTGTCCTTGCTGGTATGGAATCCTCTCCTAGACTTGAAATCTCAGTTTAATTTTAGATAATCAGTTCGCTCCTAATTTAGCTAGTGTATAAACCCTCAACTCAATATGGTGAAGAAGAAATCTTGTTCCAGAAGACTGGATACATAACAGAAAGGGAAATCACAGAAAGGCTTCTTTACCCTTCCATTTTGCAAAAATGGGAAAATACTTCAGTTGTAAGAATAAAGAAATTCTATAATTGTGCATTTTGAAACTACCTTATAATATCTCTGAAATCTTTAAACTGAGAATACTTACTTATAATGCATAGTTTTCTGTTTCTTGTTAAACTGCTCATTTTGCAAATACTTCAGATTGCATAAGCTTTGTGGCTCTTACTTGCACATATTTTATAAGGCTTTATATAACGTTATAAGCCTTTACAATACAAGCCCTTATATAACTCCTTCAGCTTTATTCATACCTTTGTTGTTGGTTAATATAAGAAGTTAAAATAAATATAAAAATATGGATATTTATTGAGAGATAAGTAGTGATTAAGCTATTTCTTATCAAGCTCAAAAAAGTCAAGAACCAGTCTTCCCAGAATTAAAGCTGTTGTAAAGATGATGTCATTAAAGATTTTTAAAATAACTTTTACTGGGGAAAAATAGTATTTTAGTTAATTTTAACAGGCCTCTAAGGACTGATGGAACTTAAAAGAAAACTCTGAAAATGAACTGAGCAAAAGAATTAAAATACTTGTATAAAAAAGTTCTGAAAATTCTACAAGATAGTACAAGCATAAAGCTGAAGAATCATTAGTCATTTAAATAACTGAAGGCTCCACTTCTGTGTGCAAGTTAGTGTGGAATAAAATAGGATGTGAATCTGAAGTCCTAGGGGAATTTGACTCTAACTCGGTGAGGACACTTATTCTGTAATAAAAGCCTGAATATACAAAGACATTTGGGATAAATTCCGGTTAATTAAAGGTAAGAATTTAAAATGTGGATACGTGATTCAGAATTGAAATGAGCTTAAGGGAATTCAGTGTAATGCACTTATAAAGTTTATCAAAATTAACTTTCTGAAATCACCCTGGTAGGACAAGGTCCTACCTTGCATGAAATAATTAATTTTCACAGGAAATAGTAGTGCAGAAGAGCTATTTCACTCTGGATTCACTTATTAGCTTGTTCTGCATTAATTGCTCAATATAGACAAGCTCCAAGTTAAAAGATTTTCTTCTTTTTTGTAGGATTTAATTAAAATTCATAACCTAATTTTTAACTGTTTACATTATCCGTGGTAGATCGAGTAAAATTCACAAATCCTTAACTAATGAATTTACAGATGGACTTTACTTGCTTGTGTAATATTAAATTTAGAATTGATATTAAATTTGCTGAGTAGAAAAATTGTTATATATTTTCATTCCACCCAGAGATGTTACCTCCATATGAGGATCCAGACCTGAAGGAACATACAAAACAAATTGTAACTGAAGCTCATTTGTTTTGTGTTCTTATGTGCCATTTATTTCTGTAGTTCTAAATATTCCTGGTCATCAGTGTGATTTTTCTTTTCTCTGCCTTTGATTTAAATGTCTGCTATGACATGAGAAGATGAACACTGAATGATTAAAATAATCAGGAGGTTCTCTGAACTGTCTCTTACCTTACCATTAAGATTAAGCCCACAATTGCTTGCTTTTATTTAGAAGACATATATATATATAAAATTTATTTTATTTATTTATTTATTTTTATTTTTTTACTTAGAAGCAAAATCTGAACATAATTTTTTCTTTCCTCTTCCTTCCAAGAAAATTGAGCACAGGGTCTTATCATTGCACTGCTGATAGTCTTCCAATCTGTCTTCCAACAGGGCCAATTACTTTTCACTGATTGAGTGTCTACATACACATTTAAAAATTTCTTTTCTTACATTTGGGGTCCCCATCCAGGATAACAGTGTAATACATTGAAAACTGTTACTAACAATCAAATATCTAGGGGTTATGAGACTTATTTTAGACATTTGATGCGTTGCCTAGAGCTCAGAAGACAGTCCTATTACTCATATGCATAGATGCAAAACTGAATATGTTTATGTTGGATAAGTTATTTTCCAGGCTTGCTGGTACTTAGTCTCTAAATACTGTTTTCTTGAAGAGATAGGCTTGAACTTTTCAAAGAAATTGCCTGTCTATATTTAAACTTACCAGTGAAAGCTTTGCTTGAATTCAAAATTCCTGTATTCTGAAGAACAGCTTTAAGGATTTATGCCAAAGTATGTATGTCTGGTGACCAACTGCTTTTAACTTATTAAGAGCTGTAGAAGGCAATTGTCCTCTGATTGTGACTCTTCAGGATCTTTGAAGTCAATACGCTTTGAGAGCTAAATGTACTAATGACCTAGGTTTTACTGAATGGGCAGAAACGTAAGGTGCAAAAAAAAGTCATATATTACTGCAACTTCTCCATACTTTAAAAAACTTATTTAGCAAATTTATTAGAAATATTACCTTGCCAAAAATGTTAGGAGAGCATTATTTGCCAGATGTGCCTTTTGATAATAAAAGTCTGTACTTACTTTCCCTCCGTTATGACAGGCCAGAAACTCAGAAGTTCGATCAAATGCAGCATTTTTGTTTGTTGACGCTTTTCCTATTCGTGATCCCCATTTTGACGCTGAAGAGATGGACAATGAAATTCAGAAACAGTTTGAAGAACTTTTTGTAAGTTTTAATGAATGTGTTAAATATGAAACGTCTAGCAAAGCTAAGTCAAAAATAAGCTGTTGCTGCAGTTAAAGAAGTTGTGGAGTTTCAGAGTAGTATACATAGGGGAATACAGACATGAGATAGAGAAAATACAAAAAGAGACAAATATTTTAGGTTTATTTAATACTAGAAACATTGACACCTGATGACATGGCACCACTTTCGCCTCTGAAAAGGAGATATTTGTGACAGTTACTTAGTAAGTTGTGAATGAAGGACTTTTCTGAAAGGTTCTATATCCTGAGTTACGGATCTTGATCCTTATTTACTTAGGGTTGGTGAAGAAAGCTTTACATTTAATCTATAAGCATTCAATGCAAGCTTAGTGCTCTATTGCTACATATTTCTGAAGTGAAGTATAATAGAACTAAGAATCTGAATCTTTACCAATCGAGATGGGTGAGAATGGGTATAATATTTTCTTAAGAAAATTTTGGGGAAAATCCTCAGTATGGCCTTTATAACTGTAAACATCAGATAAATGAATTTCAAAGTTTTTATGTTATTGAATATAAACAATGGCCAGTACAAACTTGTATGTAAACAGAAATCTAAATATTTATCAACTCACATATGCAAGACTTACTGTAAAGTGATCATTTAAAAAAAAACTATTTTAAATGTTCAAATTTCAAAAATACCGACAATCTTGGACAATGTTTTGTGTTAAATTTGCTAATTTAATTTTTATAGTTTGCTCCATAATAAAATAGCTTGGGGAAATATTAGTATTACATTTAATTCATAATATGACAGTTTGCATAATGCTTAAAAGGTAATGAAATGCTATTTGTTCATGATAGTTTATTGTTAAATGGTGGTAGAGTCACAATAATGCCTATATTCACGTTATTGTTCTTCTCCTGTTTGTTTTAGAACCTCTTGGAGGATCCCCATCCAGTTGTCCGCTCTACGGGGATACTTGGAGTTAGTCAGATAACATCCAAATACTGGGAGATGATTCCTCCAACAATTCTTGCTGATCTTTTGAAAAAACTAATTGGAGAGCTGGCATATGATATAACATCTACTGATGTTCGCTGCTCTGTTTTTAAAGTAAATCTTTTTTTTTAAATTTAAAATCACGGTTGTCATTTTTTACATTTTATTGAAGCACAGGTTTCTGTTATAGGCTACCTTAAGTTAAGGACATGACTTAATCTGCAGAATGATTTATGCAATGAAGTTCCTATACATACATACATACGCTATACAAATATAAGAACAAATGCCCTTTGCAATGGCAACTGTTTGGCTTTGAGATTCCCAGCCATTTTGCGTTTCTATTCCCATACTCGTTGGCTGATAAATTTAAATTGCTGATAATTTAATAAATCTTAGCTATTAGAAGTTATGCTTAGATTTGAAAATGTGTGCAGGGGCCTCCCAGTATGCTTCTGTGTTACTGGTTTTAACTCATGCCTAGACGTGCAAGTTTACATCATGATTTTTTACCCCACTGTATGTTTCTGAGGTTTGAATGAACATACTTGCAGACTGTGTTTCTGGAAAAGTCATTCTCCGGGGCGTTGTTCCATGTTAGGATTAGTTAATCTTCAGCTTTCTGGCATCTGGCAAATAAATAGCCTCTCGGACAGAAAAGTGAACTCTCTAAGCTATGTCTTCCTATATAATTTTTGTGTATGTTTCAGTTCAGCCGTAAGTTGGTGCTATCCTCATGTTACTCCTCACTTGCTCCACTAAAACTGTTAGGGATAGGCAGAGCTGGGTTAAAAGTAACTCGGCAAAAAAAGACTCATTTGTCATTTGAAGTAAACAGGGTTTAAGGAGCTGTTATTGCTGCCACAAAAAGTACTTGACACTCAGCCCTCAGATAGGAGGCAAGATCACTGCCTCAGTGTCAAGCTGAAGTTGCCTCATCTGAAAGGGACACAGTTTGCTGGAAATTTTGAGTCACCTCAGCCGTTGACTTAGCCCTTTTACTTACAGTAAAAATATGCAAGCAGTGTCTGCCCCTACTTTATTTAACCCTAGAACTGTCATGGTCCAGTTCAGCAATTTTAGCTACATCTTTTTGTAAATTACTCTTTTGATATTTTTATTTAGCATTTCTTTTTTTGCAGTGTCTACCAATAATTTTGGACAACAGACTAAGTCATCCATTACTGGAACAGCTCCTGCCAGCAGCTAAACACAGTCTCCATGACAATTCTGAGAAAGTGCGAGTGGCTTTTGTTGATATGCTGCTGAAAATTAAGGCTACCAAGGCTGCTAAGGTAGGATAAATGACACTAGATAGATAGATAGCAAGCAGAAGATGAAAACCAAGGTATTTATTTTAAAAATATATCTTTGACTGCTGCCTTAATCTGAAGAGGAAAACATGCATGTTAAATGTAGTAATAATTTTAATTGCAGTTTTTCTCCTCTTTATATATTTAAGCATATAAATGGCAGTTTATTTTTAAGACTTGTGCAATACTCTGTTAGCCATTTCTGTTCATTTTAAAGCTTCTTTTTTTTTTTTTTTTTGATCCAAAGGTAAGTAGAAGCAGGGAAGCATTTTGTAAATTCTACTAACGTTATGGTGTACACAGAGAATCTTTAAAAATTATGACTAGTCCTGGTGTCATGGTGAGCTTGCAGCCTTCCCAAAGTTGTTTCTTAAAGGAGTTACCTATAGGAAGTATCTGAATATTAATAAGGCAGAGGCTTTTATAGAGAGACTGGAAAGTTTGCTTTCTAATCGAGACAAATACGTTATTCTCCTTTCCTCCACGTTTTTTCTTGGTTTGGGATTGTTATGATTTGGAGTAGGTTGAGTGTTTCTCTGTATGTAGGTGCTTTTACCCAGTGGGTGCTGGTATCACAAGCACTCAGCCCAAGATCTTTTTGTGTCTCAGCATGTTCCTGTCTTTCCTGCCCTCTTGTGGCTATGCAAGGGTAGGGCAAGCAGTACAGCCCCCCTTCCTTTCAGCTGGTTAGCTCAAGTCAGAATTCTCTCTCTCACCTTGTAAAAAGCTTAACACTTAACATCTTTATGGACTTACCTACAAAAGACAAACAGTAAAAATAATGTATACAGTTTGACATTTTGGTTTCTTTTTATAGTAAATTTTTTTTATATTTAAAAAAAAAAATCTATATTCTGTGGTGGACCCTTAGTTAAAGAGATGCTATCCAGCTATAGGCATAGGCCTTTGGCTTCTTTTCCTGCTCTGGGTTATTAATGGTTTACTAATTTCAGTTTTATATTTTTAGTCATGGTTTTGCATTTTGCTGCTTTTTAGGACATGTTATCTTGTGCTAGGCAAATACATATCTGTGACTTCATATAGTGTATTGCTGTTGTTTAGGGGGAAATTAAGCTTTGAATAAACAGTTTGTCAGGTTTTAAGCCTGCAGTGCCCAAGGAACACATCTATCGCTGATGCAAGAGTTGCCTGCTTGCCAAATATGCGCGTTCCACCTTTGATCACAGGTTCTCAAAGACATTATATTGAGACTAGACTTTCCCTCAGCACCTTCCAAATTCTCCAGAATATGTTTGTACGAAAAAATAAATGGGAAGCCATTTAAAATTTGAGGTCTTTCAGCTTCTTGCACACTAGTTCAGAATAAGAAATTCAATAATGCAACAGCAGGGTTGTTACTTCCATAATATGTAACCGAATACATTGATAGGCATATCCATAGAAAATGTGAAATGGAGACAAACCCCACAAGAGCGAGGTATTATCTTTCATATCGTCAGCAGTAAAGGTCTCCAGTAATGTTCTAGTAATGTTTGCAGTTCTCCTTAGATTAAAGATATACACCTCTACCTTTAATTAGACAGTTGATTCCTTGCTTGTTATGGTCATTGAAGACTCAAGTTTTCAATAGTTAAAACAACACAGCAAATATTCCAGTTAAGACATATCTGCTCTTGCCCTGACAGCAGTTTCAGTGTTCATTGGAACATGACTAAATTCACTGACTTTAAGACGATACTTTCTCTTCTAACTGAAAGACTGAGCAGATCACTGCAGCATGACCTGCTTACATGATGAAGACATGCCATTTATGGTTATGTTGTTCAATTTATAATCTGCATAAGAATATTTTATGAGCATTGGATGGGGACTTTTGGTATTTCCTATTCCCTGCATGATCTGACTGTTCTCATTTTGATACTTAATACACAACGTTGGATTTTTTTCCAGGCAGCTCTTTTTTCCCATGACCCCTGTGAGAAACGGTCTTGGTGCCATGGTTGGGGAACCTTGAATTATCCCCCTCTCTTTTGTTTTCTCTAAGGTTCCTGATGGCATAAGGCAATGCATCTCCCTAATGATCCTCCTTGACCTAGTATGGCTGAACCATGCTAGGGACCTCCTCGGTTTCTCCTGGAAGAACCCTGTAAAGTTCCTCTTATCTACAGTTCTTTCCGTCAAGATTCAAGGAAGCCCTGTTAGCCTAAAATAAGTGTTTCACCTCACAGCATTCATTTCAGATGTCTCTTCATCTTTACAGAGAGCTTATTAGGCACCAGTTTGAAAGAGTGGAAAAAGTATGTAAATTTACTTGCCAGAATGGACCGACAGGTGTGCCTCCTTCCTAGAATGTTTCTTACACCGTAATGAAAATCTCTCTACTAGCTGTCTTTGGGTTTATTTAGTATTTTTTTCCACAGAACACCTGTAAAATGGAAGGTGTCTTTCTAGTTTTTGCTGCTCTTTTACTGTCAGGTTTCTCATAGGTCTGGTAAAGATGTTTCTTTCTCTTACACATCCTATTTAGATAGAGCAAATTCTCAATTCATAGTAATCATACCTTTTTATGAAGATGGTGTTTTTAAGACAATTTGTGTGGGGAGAAAGGAAAAAAAACAGTTTCAACAATAAATTATTCTTTTCTTAAAATAAAACATTTAGTATAACAGTAACGCAGAGGAAGAGTCCAGAGTTGCAGATATATGGCGGTACTCTGAAAGAAAGCTTTCTTCCTGAAGTTTCAAGTTCAGAAGGTTCTAAAGCCAGATGTTCCTCTATTGGTAAAACTGAGGTGGAATGGCAGAAGTATCACTGTGACACTGAACCTTGTCCTCATTCTAGATTGTGCCTGCATATTAACTGATAGGAGATGTATCATTTGATGACTGTTGTTCTGGAAGTGTTGGACTTTAAAGTCTTATCATGCTTCCTATTATATTGTTCTTTTGTTGCTGTTTATTTAAAAACATGCTCTGCAAACATCTTCCCTTAATAATATGATTACATATCACTTTTATGATTTTCTTATGTTTTTAATATCTATTTCGGCATTAGTCTGTAACTTCACAGGCACTCTCCAATTCTTGTACTGAGATTTAACTCTTCACCATTTGTGCTTGTAATAGCAAAAAGTTACTGCAGTTTGCTGATACAGATATGGTTTAATGGACCAGCAGCTACAGTCATGAGTTGATCTGTTAACATTATTATCTATCTGTATAGTAAAACGCAAACAAGCTCCAGACTACAAAAATGCTTATGCTCTTCTGCTACAAGTATTTGTTGAGAATTAATTTTGATGCAGGAAACACTGTTAAGAAATGTATTTTTTTCCTCTCTCTCTCTCTCTTCCCCCCCCCCCCCCCCCCCTTTTTTTCCCCAACTCTTCCTTTAATTTCTTCTTCTCACTTTAAAAAGTTCTGGAAAATCTGTCCCATGGAGCATCTTCTGACTCGTCTTGAAGTTGATTCACGGCCTGTGTCACGGCGCATAGTGAATCTCCTGTTCAACTCCTTCTTCCCCATTAACCAGCCTGAAGACGTATGGTGTGAACGCTGTGTTACTCTAATCCAGATGAATTCAGCAGCAGCTAGAAAGTTTTATCAATATGCTTATGAGTATACTGCCCCCACCAATATAGGTAAAGTACAAAACATTATCAGTCTCTGGAAATACCATTTTCACACCATATGATTGCCTTTTGAGGCTTTTCTCCAACAGTGCTTGCAATAGGACATTGTTGCTAGATCTTTTGTTTTTAGTATAAATTTAGTTCGTAACTTTTGAAATTCTAGACACCAGCAGTGAATCCTGCTGACTGAAGTTCTAGGCTTTTTCAACAATGAAGAAAGCAAAAATGTTTTTTATGCTCTGTGCTATACTCAGTAGCCAATGTACTTGTTTGGTCTTTCTCCCCTTTCTCCTCCCACATACCTTAAAACTATCTAAGCCAATATTTATTTATCACGCAAAAATGGTGAAATAAAATACCCTGGTGTCTCAAGAGATCTGAGATCTTTCTTTGGAAGCTTCTATAGGAAGTGAAAATATTTATCTCTGATTATCTGGGATTTGTGGATCAATAGTATTTTCAAGCTGCTTAGAGAAAATCTAAAAAGCCCACTTCCCCATTAAAAGCTTTTGAGACTTTCATTGACAGCAGTACGTACCACAGATAGTATAATCACTTTCTGGAAAAAGAGTGCTATTGAGCCAAGTAAAAATTTTTTTCCAGTGAGTCCTGATACCATAAATACAAAATAATTAGCACAGGGTGGCTTGGGTACAAAGCCCAAGCTGTTGCCTCTTCTCCAGTCCTCTCTACCTTTGTTAGGTGGTTTTGAAATAATATGTGCTGATGTATTTCAACTAGTCATACTTTCACTAGAGTGGGCATCACCCTTTCACCTTTATCTAAGGGCAAGTTCCTCATTAAGGAGTGCAATGGTTAGGTTACTACATCTTTGATTAAATAATTGGGCTTTACATCTGAGGAGGTGTTTTGAATCTGGGTCACTAAATTAATAGCTGTGTCAGATTAATGTAGGAGGTTCCTGTGATCCTGATTTGCCTGTAAGTTTTTGTTGCTGCTGCTGTTGTTTTTTTTTAATCTGTGGAATTTTTAAACAATGAAATTATAGAACCTAATGGTAGTTTAGCCATTTCTTCCTCATTTCTGACTACAGAAAAACTTTTGCATAATTTTTTTTTTTTTTTTTTAGCCGGAAATTTGGTATCTTTTTTGCTGACTTTGTCTGGATCTGATGCCTGCTTTTCAGAATGACTTTCTAGCATTGCATGTAGAAGCACTTACTAATAACATTCTGAATAAACAGTAAATATCTAATTTATTCTTATTGTATTTAAATGTAGCTAAATTGATGCTAACTATTCGGCGCTGCTTGAATGCCTGCATCCAGAAAGCAACGAAAGAGAGTTTTCATAATGATGATGATGATGGCGATAATGAAAATGAAAAGGAGAACATAAGTGTAAGAAAGTCTACTTTCTGATAAGTTCTAGTAACTTAAGCATTCAAGGGCTTGTTGTAAATTTATTTGACTTTGCAATCAAGTATATTCAAAAATTAATGTAGCAAAATCGCAGGAGCTTTATATGGGTTAAGAATAAATAAGAATAAATGATAGATTTCATGTTCTACAACAAACTCGACACCACTTTGCAATGAATACATGAATTTTTTTAACCTGCATTTGTATTTTAAAATACAATGGGTAATATCATATAAGTGTTTGTATTTCAGGCATTGAATAACGTGTTGTCAATAAATGATGTGGCCTCCATGGCAAGTTTGTTGGAGATCACTGTAATTCTTTGGAGAAGTATTCACAAAGCACTAGAACACAATGAAGATGCCAAAGATTATGCAATCAGAAAATTTGCTTCTGTACTTCCTGAATATTTTAAAGTATTTAAGGTAAAGAAAACGTGGATTTAAGCTTATATTTTCCTATAACAGCTTAAGATTTTTTTTAGATGTGTTTTGTAAGTGTCTATGTCTTGTATCTGTTTTCATGGGATTAAGTGTTCTTTCATGGTTTTTTGTTGTTACTGTGAACTATAAACAACGGCAAGTTTCTTGGAATGTCACGAACAGATAAAACCCATTCTAATTTCAAAGTCTGATTGATCAACCGTTATTTAAATAGTCAACACAGATTTTCTTATGCGAAAAGTAGCTCTCCTCGTAATATCTTCAAAGGCATCCATCCTTTGGAATGTTTTTGGAACCTCTTGGAAATCATTAACTTAAAATATTCCATTGCAGAAAAAAACATTCAATGTGCTTTTGTAAATGAGAATCCACACGATTTCCTCCTCTCCTTCACCAAAACAGTTCCCTGGCAGTACGATCCAGTTTCTCTTCAGCTGCTGCAACAGACAGCTGAAGAAGCTGAGGCTTCTTTTTCATTTACTTGTGATTAATTTCTCTTTATTTGATTCTACTCTCTAATAATATTTTGATGCACTTATTTATTGTTTGGATTTGATATATGCAGTTAGTTAATATCAGTCATTTTCATAATTTAGTCTCCTTCTTCTGTTTACTTGTTCTGGTGTTATTCTTCAAGATGCTATGTTTTGACTGTGACTAATAGTATCTGCTGCAACGTGTAGTGCATTTGGAAGGATTTTCTAGTGGAGGTCTCTTTTTGTTTGTGGCTTTTCATTCAAGCTAGTTTTAGTTTAATCTAGTAGTAGAAGCAGTTCATTGCTATATTCTGCAGCATGGATATACCCTAGAGCATTTGGAAATTGTGAAAGCCATGCCAAAGTATTTTTGGGAGAGAAAGTAACATCATCTGATAGGTTTGTTGAGCAGAAGAGATATTCAGCTTTAGCAATCAGTCTCTTTGATATTCTCTCAATGAGCAATCAGCCTAGATCTCAGAGACTTAATTCCTAAAATTGAGCCAGTGAGACTATGTCATGGTCTGTACCTTGTATTATGATGTGTTATAGAGTGTATCTTTACATTACCACTGTTAGGAGAGTCTCTTTTCTTTAGAATCTTTTTTTATATTTCCTGTTGGAATGGATAGTAATTTAAGACATGAGTTACTTGGAGAGGAATTAGGTGGTGTCATAGTTGTGCAATTAAATAGCCACTGCTAGATATATGTAAGCTGGAATGGTTATTTCTTTTGCAGCATTTCTTAATGAAATGGAGCCATTAATAGCTCATGGTAGTTCTGACAGTTTGTCAGAAAGCTGAAAGTTAAGATTATTGATAATTGTCCTTCAAGAACATGAAGCAGAAGCTTCAGATTGCAAGACAGGTATTGTTATGAGCATATTTCAGTTCTGTTTCTAATGGGGAAAAAAGAGAAATCCTTAAATTTGAGATAATGTAGTTACAATTTTTTCAGTGCTCTTTAACTTTGCATATATGTATTCATCTGTACATGCACATCACAAAGCATAACTTTTTATCCTAGGATGATCGTTGCATGATTCCACTGATTGTCCTGGCATCCTTTATGCCACCTGCTGCTATTCCTACATTCAGGTACCATTTTTTTAATCCAAAACATCAATGAAAATAAATCTCTTGTTGACTATTTCTTAGTTTTTCTCATATTAAGACACAAATAAATGTCTGTTTCATTAAATAAAATGTCTGTTTGGATAAATTAATCCACTGAATGCATCTCGTGTGTTAGTAATAACTGTGAGGTGCAAATGTTCTAGGAGCCATTTGTGAATCTTTTTTGGTATTAGTTTATCTGATGTTTGAATTGTTTCCGCACTAATGGATTAACGTTCATGTATCTCCATTTTTTTAAGCTGTGGTGTGATCTCGAAACTCAGAAATCTTGACAATGGAGCTGATGAAAGCAAATATTCCACCCTGATAGACTGCTTGTGTCGCTGGGGTCAAGTGGGACATATTATGGAATTAGCCTGTGACTGGTTGTCTGACATGCTAACCCCAAGAAAGGTGTGCATAAGTCAATGAAATTTATTGTTAGATTGCATAAATGCGTCACACATTTATTTTGCTTTTTAGAAGGAGCTTCTTTAATATTACCTTATTCTTTTTTGGAATTAGTTGTAATTAAACATATTAACAGTGTTATACTGGTTCTATTCTTCCTTCTCATTTAGAGCATTAAAACTTCAGAACGACGAGTACGTATCCATGTAACGCATGGATCAAAGCCGGAATTAGCACTTGATTACATCGAATATTTATTGACGCATCCTGTTAATCGAGATTGCCTGCTCTCTATTCCTAAAAAGAAACTGAACCAGCTTTTGAGACTTCTCAGTGCTGCAAAGGTAGCGTTGTCCTTATAAATAACGCTTACAAAAGAATGCTTAACATCACAGATTGCTTGACACAAATTAATGGTCTGCAAGAATAAAAAAAAAAAAAAGATTCATTATCCCTTCTTCAACTCTGTCTTCAGCCACCATTTTCATAATACTAAAATAGCAGAGTTATTACAATAGCCTTCTTATACTAACTGATTCATTTCATCCCTGGTTTGAACTAGGATATTTGACTAGTTAAGTAAAGATAGCAAGTTTAGTATGTAAGGAATCAGAATAAAACAGTATTGTTTCATGCATTGTCCCACACTGAGGCATTAAATATCCTCTGAATGTGCGTAACTAGGGGAAACTATAGAAACATATGGAGGTCTTGGGACCAACGTTAATTTGATTTTAATTGTAATAGTTTCCATACAGAAAACTGGACTACTTGAAGGGCAGACTGAGTTTTCCTCTTTATCTATATTTAGGATAAATATTCTAAACTAGAAGTATATTCATTCAGATTGTTTGCAGCTGGCAGATTTTAAGGGGCCTGTAATTTTTAGGTGTCTCAAGATTTTGTGGTCTAGTGTTTAGCATTTTTAGGGGACCTGACTTTCAGCATGTGCATGAAAGGAATAGTCTGAAAATCAGGCTTTCTTATCATGTCATAAGAAAACACTTCTTCACTATGAGAGTTGTTGAACACAGGAAGAATTTGCCCAGAGAGGCTGTGGAGTATCGGTCCTTGGAGATACTGAAAACCCAAACGGACGCGGTCCTGGGCAACCTGCTCTAGCTGACCCTGCTTGAGCCAGGGGGCTTGGACCAGATGATCTCCAGAGTTCTCTTCCGACCTCAACTGTTTGGTGGTTCTGTTATTTTTGGCACTGCAAAATGAAAGTACTTGAAAATTTTTCTGTTTCTGGGAGAGGATGCTTTTTTTTTTTTTTAAATCTTTTCTTTTAAACTTATGGGAAAAGACAAGAAACGTTTGTGAGTATTTTCTGAAAAATGTAAATTTAAAATCATTCAAAATATGATATTGCAGGAGGTTCTTGGCTCATTTCTGAAAGCGACTGATACAAGTTCTGGTAACTGCAATCAAGCAACTGGCCTAAGAGCCTTCAGCCTCTATTGTAGGTTGAGTATTCATCTGCAGAACAAGGTATAGTTACACCTTTTCAGTACAAGCTGAAGTTACAGCTGACGACATTATAGCTGAAATTGAAATTGTTGAAATTGTACTGACAGTACATTTTCAAAAGATTTGGAAAGACACTTGATAAACTTTTTTTAATTTTTTTTTCCAGTTTTCTGAAGAAGGAAAAGATTACTTTTCACTTCTGAAGGAGACAGGTGCTTGGATAGAAAGTCAAATTGTACCCTTTATACTAGCAAGTGGTCAAGAGGATGGCATTTCAGAACACCGTAATGTTTCTGAGTCAATTATCCAGGTTAGAGGTCTCTTACTACTTAAATTGTACTGATGCCAGTCATATGCTATGTGCAGTAAGTGCAGCAATTGTATACTTATAGTGCACTGGAATATTGGGAGCCCAGTAAGTAAATGAGCTAATGAAACACAGTCCTGATTGTTGGAAATTTTTCTAAAGCAATGTATTCCTGAAGTTTGGTGACACGTAAGCACTAAGCGTTATGCTTTATAAAATATAAGGGGTATTACATAACTAAAAGCTATTAAAAAGAGCTTGAGATATTTTAAGCAATTGTGCCAATAGCACAACCACAAACCTAACCTCAAAACAAACTACTGTGTTTAGCACTTAACGTTAGCAATTAAATCAAGTACTTGGAGTAAGCAATGCCTAGTTCTTATCTAGACTTTTTTCACTGAACAGTGCATAATATATCTTTTCAACAAGTCTGTTGAAGTGAGAAAGAAGTGTGTTTTATATTTCACGTTTGTGAGAACCCCCACTTGAAACTTCTAGCACAGCAGGCGATGTAACCTGGGTCTCCTAAATTTTAGGGTTCTCACCAAGTAATTCTTTTCCTTAGTCACTCCTGTCCCATATTAAATGAAGGTAATGCTTATACAGCTTTAGGAAAATCACATTAACATAGAGTTAAGATTGTCACGGAGCCACAGTTCTGAAAAGACAAAGAAAATCAGTTACTGAAAACCAGGATATAGTTAAGTGATGTGTCAGCACTGTTCTCCTGTAACGTAGGTCCTGGAAGTGAGGTAGAATCACTGCTGCTGCATTCACTGCATTGAATAGCACAATAGAGGAGAACTTTGAGGAATTTGAAATGAATATGAAACTTTATTGGTAAGAAAAAACATAGGCAGTTGTAACCAGTAAACACATCTGACATCTTACTTGACTAGCCAATAACGAAACACAGAATGTGTTTGTATTAGTAGAACTTAAATCCCATTTCCGTCACTATTTACAGGGAGGATACTGAGGTGTAAAACTTGTGTAACTTGTCTGGAAGTCAATAAGAAAATCTGGGCCTGTTGAGCCTTCTGTAGCAGGCCACACGCTTGTTAGGCAGCTCCTATTTTTTTCTCGCCTGTCTGTATACTGTGTTTTCTTGGAATGAGGTATTGGTTGTGCTTTTTTAATTTTAATTATTTGGAGTGTATATTTGGTAACAAAGCTGGCATTCAAATAGCAGACCTTGTCCATCTCAAAATGTTGTCCATAGAATAGTTACAACAGCTTCTTTCATACAGTAGTAATGAGAGGGGCTTGGGCTGTCTCTCCTTTTTCCACTTATATTTCTCTATCACTTTCTCTGTAACATATCACATTCTTTCCCATCCCGCTTTTCTTCTCTCCTTGGTCTGTTACTGAATTTTGCCCTTTGCTGTTTATGCATGTTGTGCTTAGGGACTCATTGGAGGGGACACTCTCTTAGGCCTCTGCTTTGGCCGGAGAGCGACCCTTGGTCATCTCCTTGTTCCACTTGAACCAAATCTCTGTTGCCTCGTTCCGTTCAGTCTCCTCATATCACATAGGATTATCAAACCCTTGTAACTCAGTTTTTCTTGGTTTCAAGATTCTCCCCTGCCCCCCCTTTGGTACTGCTGTCAGTGTTTTCCACCAATTTCTAGGCACCATCCCACAGGCCTGGTGACTTCTTGTATTCAGATATACAAAATGAGAAAAGAACTGTGATAGGTCCTCTGACACGAACCTTGGTATCACCACTGATAGTATCTCTTAAGTATCCTATCCCTTAACTTCATTTACCCTTCACAGAAAGCATTTGAATATGTAATTTATTTATTTTTTAAACTATTTTTTGATTGTCTTCTATTACATTCCCCTGACTCATCACTTAAACCAGGGTGGATTTCGGCATTGAGCTATGGGTCTTTTTCCAAATTTCAGTCAAGGGTAAGGTTTGAACTAACGTTAGTCACAGTCTGTGTCCTTGAACAACTGAGCTCATGTAAATACAAGCTGGTTAGAAATTCTCTGCTCTAGTCTGTCTGTAAATTTGCTTTATAGTCTTCCAGTGCGTGAGATTTAGGTGTGTGCCTATGCAGGAATAATCTCTTTTTGTACGCTATTTTTAATTTCCAAGATAGGTAGAGATGTCCTGTTCTGCCAGGATAAATATTAACTATCAATGTGTCTGATCTGAAGCTTGAGTAAAAAAGCTAGAGGATTTACCAGCTTTTGAGAAACTGAGTTTTTTGGAGGAATTTGGAAAACTGTTTAGAATTCCTACTTTTCAAAGCATTGCAGGTCCAAGGAACACCAGCTATCAAGGCAACCCCAGTATAAATATGAATTCTAAAAGATTTATTCTAGAGTTCATAAAATTCTGTCAAAAAATGGGTAGAAGGAACAAAAGGAAATATTCAGATTTAATAATAGCATAGGTCTGCTCTCTTACAGTGTATTTAATCTTTTCTATATTATAAATTATGCTGAAAATTACACTTTGTATTCTTAGCCATATATTAAGAATGTCCCAGATCTAAAAAGCCATGAAATATATTTTTATAATTAATAATATCCCGTTAGAGACTATGCAGTGGTGCCTTCACCACTGGATTCCATTGTTCGTACTTTTTAAGTATGCTTCTCCACTGAGTCGTAGTACCTTTACCTTCTGGGAGAGGACAGACATGCTTACTCTGCCGGACTGTGGAACTATGCATCATAGAAAAGCTGAAGGGCTGTGAGGCAGGAATTCTTTTCATGTATAACTTGAGCTATGTCTTCTGGAATATGGAAGTGAAACGGAATAACAAACCATGAAATTTATAGATTTTTCTCCAGTATAATTTCTCACCAGACTGTTAGTACTGTGATGTTTTTGAAATACTTCCCCCCTCCCCCAATGTGGCTTCAAAATGCAAAGGATAATTAAATTATTCTCTTAACTTCATGTTTTTATTTTCTTTTTATTATTTATTATTATTGAAGTGCTGCTTTATGTGATTTTTTTTCTGATAGATTTTTGCATCTCTTTTCTAGGCCTATCTGACAGTGTGTAAGGATGTCATAATGGTTGGCCTTGGAAATCTCAAATTTCAAACACACTTTTTAGATATGGCGCTTTCAGTTATACAGACAGGTAAGTTATTTTGTGCTGATCTCAATATTTCCTTATACACTGAACTGATTTCTCTTACATTAACAGAAGTATTGCTTTTATCCTTTTGGATTCTGTTTCTCTAAAAATGGTGTTTACACTTATGTTTGCATTAATAATACGGGCAAAAGTCAAGACAGCTTTTCAGAAATCTGAAAACAAGCAGAGAAGCAATCCAGAACCATATAACTGTTATTACTAATGTTTCTTCCTTGCTCTTAGATGCCAGTTATTACTATGTAGTTTGGTTAATAAAAAATCAGTATACTTTAGAAGACATCGTAGGGCTATTTAAATTTGGCTCACATTCGGAAATTTATATCTACAATATAGACAGAATTAAAGCTCAGTTCCTGAAGAAATCTACAAATTGAATCCCTGTGCTCCTGGAATTTTTAAGAGACACTGGCTTTTTCATGTACGCTTGATAGAATATTGATTAAACTGTATGAAAATTTCAGCTACAAGGCTCAGAAGCTACACGTGATATCATTTACACTAGATCGTAACTATTGCTGTTCTTGTACCTGAAGAATATCTTATTAAAATTTTTATATTGTATCATTTATCTGTTTCTCTAGAGAGAGGTGGCTTTTGTATTCCAGTATTATTGTGTGCTCTTAAAGAAATTATTGAAGCTTCTTTGACTCTGAATATTGACACAGATGAAATGGCAGATCTTCTCCATGCTGTTCAGACTGTCTTCCAGAAAGTTTTAGAATGTGTGGCACGTAGGCTCAAGAAACAGCAGGAAGAAGGGCTTCAGGTATTATACTGTCCTTAAAATTGTTACCTATGTGTAGATGAATCCATCATTTTTACTCAGATGTGAACTGGTGTTATACATAGACACTTTGAGTTTATTATTCCAATAGACAGCTGATTGTATTTTCAGTTAATTTTTCTAATATTATGCTAAGTTTACTTTAATAAGAATTATTTTTTAACCATTGTTTGTTTAGTAGCGATGGAAAAACTAGAAAGCAGAGAACAACGCATTCTGTTACCAATGATTCTGAACGACCCTAGTACTCATAGACTCTTAACCTTACCTATAAGTAAAAAGAACTTTCTCTATACAGAGCAAAAAATTTAGATATATATTATGGTCTGGAGAGGGAGGGGTTGTGGCTCTTTTATTTATTTCTTTTAGCCTGAATTCCCTCAGCATCAATATATGGATTCTGTCCAAAAGTTCTTCAGACCCTCCCATCTTCACAGAAAAGTCAGCTTCTTATATTTTAAAGCAGACAGTAGATGACAGTGACATGGGTGGATAATTCTGGAAAATCTTATGGTCGTCTTTTCAGGACTTATGAAAAAACATTTCAGTTCTTTTATGGTTCAGACTTTGTTTTAGGGAATTTCTTTGCGTTTCTCAAACTTAGATTGTTGACACATGCTGCTGATTTTCCCCCTCTTATCCTGGATGACTGAAATATATCAATAGCTTTCAAGGTGTGATCTGTACTTGTTCAGAGAACAGCTTGCAGAAATATTTTAATTATACTCAAGTAATCTCAAACAGCTGATCTGTTTTTCTTTGGTTTTAGTTGATTCACTCTATTCAAATGCCTCTTGGAGAATTCATACACACAGTCCAGTGCTGGCATTCAACTTACACAGCAGTTCACCACGGTGTAATCTCAACTCTCCTAGCTGCGGTAGTAGCAGAGATAAATCATGTGCTACAGAAGGTAAAGTTAACGTTAACTTTTCTTTTTTCTTATATTTGTTCGTTTTTTAACATTATGTTGGAACTATGTTAATGGAACTATGGGAGCTATATTCACAAAGTGTGGTTTTTTTTTTTTTTTTTTTCTACTACAGATAAAGATTTTGTGTGTTTTGTCATGGAACAAATAGGAAATTTTATATGCCATAATTTCATATTGAAATGCAGCTCTTAGATTTATGGATACAGCAGTGTAAGAACACTAAAATTGTCCTGGTGCCTAGTTCACTATCTAACTCAAACAGCAGCCAGAAGAATTTGAAAATTAGGCACTCTTGGAGTGCCGTGAAACATTTTCCAAATGTTGAACTTTTATAATGTTGTTGGTGTATTCATTAGATCGATATTTTGCCTGCTGGTGTTCATATCATCTTCACAGAGAAGAGCTTGCTGAAATAGTTTAAGAATACTCAAGCAATCTCAAAAACTATCTGTTTTTTGTTGATTATTGGAAGATTTGAGATTTCTTCTCCCTTCACTTCAAGAGATGGCTGTTTGAGAGACAAAGATGTATTTTCAACCTTGATCTTTAATTTCTGTCTTTAGTAGTAATGCACCTTAAACCTGTCTGTCTAACCTCATCTGCTTCTGAAAAGTCATAGTGGTTGTATGCAAGACTATTCTGTCTGCAGATTCTAATTAAGCTAGAAAATATGATGCTAAAACATTAAATAGGTATTAAATAATTTGTGTTGTTTGCACACAAATAGAAACTAATCTTGCTTCATCTCACCCATCAGTGGGGAACTTGAGATCCCCGGAGGTGAAATACTGCAACTCTGAAAGACTCTAGTACCAAGTCTTGGAACTATCCCCTAAGGTTTTATTAAAAGCAGCTTTTTGTAATCCTAGTCCAAAGCAGGCTAGCGTCTTGCTTGGCACTGATCACTTCTGCAATCTCTGCTTCGGTACAGAGCTATCTCTAATACTGCTATCTTTTTGGTCCCTCGGTTTGTGATATTAGAGGAATTCTGAATATCTGAGCAGAGTTTCTTTGGAAAGTCAAGAAGGAAGCTCTAATAATGAAAAGAATATGTAGAGAGGTTATTCTATATGCTGCAAGTCCCAAGAATTCCAGGGGACCATTGCTGTCCCCTGAAGAAAAAGGGGTAACACTCCAAATGCCTACTCCTAATGCACGTAGCATTAGGAGCTAATACTACTCATAAAATTGGAAGCTTTGAGAACAAGTAGAAACAGGTTCTGCTCTTAACTGTGGTTGCAAGATATGCCATAAATAGAGCAGTAATCGGTTGCCAAATAGTAGAGTACCACAGAGATGCTGCTCAAAATCTGCACTGCAGTGAGAACTGAAATGGTACTGGAGATTTACCTGCGTATATTAATGTGTCAGCTGTGGGACTGTGGGGTTGTGAGCATGCTCTTTCGAGATGTTGTGGGGGTAAAAGTTTATAATCTTGAATGATACTGCAGATTCATAACTGTAGGTTATGAATGCTCATTGCAGGTAACTCCTCTGAGTTAGATTTTTCCCTGCCCTCAGGTTATTGTACTTCTAAGTTAAAACTTAATTTCTAGCTAAATACTTCCTGGATACTTGCCAAATTCGGAACTTGATACTAAAAAAAAAGCTGGCACAGGGAATCAGGAAATCACTGTAATCTAAATTATTTTTAGAAATTATGTGTGCATACATAAGCTTGCAGTCACAGAGTTTATTAATTTGTGTTGAGTAGGCAATGCCTTTATGACTTGTAACCAGCAACGTAGTTAAATGAGACTTCTATTTAGAACAACGGTGGAGAATGTTTCCTTTGGTACAAACACTATTTGTTCGAGTTTTAGCCTTCCTAATTTAAATTTGTTTTGTTTGTTTTGACACTACACAGTTAGATTAAGGGCATTAAAGAAATACGTGTGAACATGTGTAATTACTGAAATTTAGATTTGCTTTAATGTTATCTGTGTGCATATATTTCTTAATATACGTGACTTGTTAATTTTTTGGGTTTTCAGGCTTCCAGTGATGGAAACGTAACTATGCCAAAGACTATTTCAGACCTCCCTCCTCTTTCGAGCAGTTTAATGGCCATAATTATGAAGTCAGTTGATATTGTCAGGTAAATGTTTCTCCATTCCAAGACTGGTAATGATATGGAATGCATTATGTTGTCAAGAAAGACTTAATATCTAAAATGTAGTAAGTGTTGAGTAACTAGATACTATCAGTAGCTTACTAAATTTACCTTCACTGCTTCAAGTACTTCAGGGACTACTAGTCCCTTTCTCTTGTTACATTATTTGTAAATGTTGATTTGGGGGGTTAGGTGTGGTGACGGTGTTTTGTTTTATTTTGTTTTTTAACTTCATCTAAAAATCCTGTTATTTACAAGACTGAACTGAAATCTTGATTTCTTTAAACACACTTCTTGGCTTGCATTTTTCATAAGGTACATATAAATGCAGGTCATTTCAATATAGAGGTATTTAGATGAGAGAATATTTACCAGAAACAGCATTAATCCTTTAACCTGAAAATCTGCAATGGGGTGACAATTGTAGTAAAGGCTGTATACAAATCACAAAACTCAAAACACGCTTGAAGTGTCTGAGTCCTAAAAATTCCCAAAGTAGGGTTAAGTATTTTTTTTAAAAAGAATTAAACTATTTTTTTTAATTATATATATGCAGGAGATACCCTCCTGCATATATGTTAAAATTGTCGCAAGTGAATTTCATCATTTGCTTTGCTTAATGTGTTTATATACAGTTTTTATTTGCATGACTGTTTATACTCCAGAATTATTTTGAATAATCAAGGGGCTAATATCTGTTCCTTAGCAGCTCTAGGTTCTGCATGTCTTAAGACAACTAACTCCTATTCTTAACTATTCTTAACTCATCTGTCAGGCATAGAATATTCCTGTCTCTGCAGCCACAAATTGTTTTGGTTTGTTTTCCTAAATGCTTTTCTAATTCTTGTTTATGCAACCAGACTTCAGTACTTTAAGTCTTCACGGGAAAACAAAAGACTCCAGAAGGTGTGTCTAGCAGTAGGTCTCCTAATCTAAATCTTGTTTTTCTGTGAGGCAGCTGTCCATGGAGCTTCTGTTTCAGTGAAGCACAGCTACTTTGTATTGTTCTTTTGAACAGAGACACAGAAAGTCAATGAATTCCTCTGAAGCCTTTTCTTGTAGTGGTCAAGAAGAATCTTGTCCGTTCTTGCAGGAGAAAACTGCTAGTTTGGACCAGATTGTGTCTGAGTACTCTGGTAAACATATGTTCTAGTACGTATCTTTTTTTGTGCAAAGATCATCTAAGTTAGATGGTGATTCATATCTGGTTGCACTGGTGCTTCAGGACTGAAACTGCTTTTAAGGCCAGTTTTTTTTTTTCTTTTCTTTTTAATCTGTATCAATAGGTCAAAATCAAAGATTCCAGCAGTAAATCATTCAGCATTTCAGGAATTAGTGGCATAATCCCTGTTTTCCATACTAATGCCAGAGCTTTTGACATTAAAGAATCCAATGCAAGCTTCTAAACTGCAAAAACACAATCATCTTGCATCAGGTTCTGCAGTCTGTTTTGATTTACTATATTAAACACTCCTGTAGCATTGAATCTCAGTCCCCATTCCAGTTACAGTACTGAGTGACTTGGCATTATTTGGCCATTTGTGCGTGTCCTTTGCTGCCCTTCAGTGACAAACTATCAGTATTGGAACTAATTACTTCTCTCTCACATACATGTATTTGGAAACAACTTATTGTTCTGAAATATTCTTATTTTATCTTTGCCATCAGGCTCATATGACCCTTGTTGTGGGGAGGGGCGGGGAAGTGTCTGCATCGATCCTGCAGTAAGTCTTACTACAGATAAATAAAATTGAAGTGTTCCTTAATGGAACTAAATAGTGTTCTTACTGAACTAAACAGTGATAATGATAAAGTCAAAACTCCAGTTGGAGTCGAATCAATCAGCAATTTAAGAGTGATATGAAATGGATTCAATACTTGGGCAGATTAACTTTATTATATCATTGTGGACTAACGTAATGTATGAGCAACTTCATAAATAGTGATGTCAGATCCTAAAAAGGTTTCATCTTTCTGAGCTCTTTCAAGCAGTAGTTGAGCTTCTACAAAGTTTATTTACTAGTTTCCTTCAAAGTTAACTCACAAATGGAGGTTGGTTCTTTTCTTAACTGAAAACTTAATTTTCATATTTTAGCACAGTAAAAGACTGAAGAGCCATTAAAGTTGAAGCTGTTTTTAAAAGGTTCATTCTGCATGAGTTTAGCGCCACAGACTTGCTCTGAGTTTCCCCTGTAGGACAGAATAGTTCTTCACAGCTGCATTATGATCATTTAGTCTTGCGGTCTGGGGAGTGTGAGGATTACAGATCTTTTCCATCTGCTGCTTTATCCCTCTTGCACTTTCCCTTTTTCTTGTTTTTATGAGAATTACTTCTGTGTTAAATTTATTATCTTTGTCATAAAGACTAATAACAATAACATGCCAATTAATGATTAGTGAAAGTGACAGATTAATGGTCTTATTCTGCATTACTGGATTATTCCATATTGCAATTTGGTTTTGTTGGTAGACCTCTTTCTGTCTCCCTTGTTTCATTTTTCTTAATGTATTTAATATATGTCCTGAAATAATTTTTTATGTTTGCTGGTAGTACTATCACCTTTTGCTAAAACACAGTATCTGAAGATAAATACGTTTATAGTTAGTATTTATCTCAGCCTATGCAACGAACAGTTGTTTGCTTTATTTTCTTAGTCTTCCATGTTCTCAGTATCTAAGATGTGGTTTGGAAATGTTTCAGGGTTATAGTTAGTTGTAAACGTTCTTCACTGTTTTTTAATTGGAAACACTTCTATTTAACTTTTATGATGCACATTTTAGACCAAAATATTAATTAAACTGTAGGTTCTAGTTGGGCTACAAGCAGTAATAGTTTTAGAGGAAGGAGTAGTTATTAACAGTCCACCGGGGTCATTTAAATTTTTTTTTTTTTTTTAACTTCAACAGAATGCATATAAGTTGAGTTAATAAATTCCAGTATACCTATAGAACCAGTAGTTTTTCACAGATTGACTTTCTAAAATAGCCTACAAGCTTTTCATTTCTGATTACTGCTATCTGTTCTGTGTACAAACTCTTTTATTCTCTTCCCAAGCGATTTACCATTCTGCTAACTCTACAGTTCTGGTAGTTCCAGAAGAAGCAATATAATTTGCAATCACCCATAAATACTGCTTTGTCCTGTACGATATCTTTGAAGCTGGTAGGGTAGCTGAAGCTGGTGGTGGCAGGGTAGTATAATCACAAAGTTGTTCTAAGCACAAAGCTGTGTTCTATTTTGAAAGAAACATATTTTACAAACTCTGTGCTTTATTTTTTTCCACAGATCATTTTTAAATGAATTAATGGAGTGCATTATCTCTGAAGAAATTGAAGGGATTTTTAGTCTTACAGCTACCGTCTGCGTTGTGCTTATAATTAGAGGTCAGTCAAGCTATTTTGCTCAATAAAAGTTTGTGCTGGTGTGCTACGTTTCGAAAACCAAGTTCTTATAAAATTCATCAGACCCTTTTCCTCATTAGCTGTTGTTATTATTTTTCTACAGGATTTAAGGTCCTATTACTTGTAAATGGTTCTGCTAAGCTTTGAACTCTTAATCTTTGTGTACTGGGTTTAAAAATAAAACCATCTGCTAAGCTAATAAGGTCTATCTCTATATGCTGGTTTGCTGAAATATACTGTAATTTGGAGAGCATAAGCTGCTTGCTTAACCTAGAGCAGTGAAAATCCAAATTAATATATATCTCCTATTAAAGAATGTTTTTTGTTAAAAAGTTATTCTATGGAAATATGCAAGTTTGTTTTTATTGCTAAATCATTATTCTTTCCCAATTTTTCCACATAATGATATTTCAATAGGTAAGCACAAAACTTCGCTTCTAAAAGGTATTGCACCTGCCATTCAAAGAAAGCTGATAACGTGCAAGGAAGTTGCCTCAGAAGAATCTAGCAGCACTGAAAGGTAAATGTGCTATGGGACATGAACACTGACCTCTCCTATCCCCTCTCTGCAATAAATGACTTATGTAATATGGTTAGAGCATTCTGAATGACTGCAAGTTTTAAAATAGTGGAAAAAAAATCTTGTGAGATATTGAGCCCAGCACACTATTAAATTTCCTGCCCATACATTTGATGTCTGATTGTAATCTTTACATATTTAGTTTGTTTTCTGCATTTAATTTGAATCTTATGACTTATCCTGTATATTGCATTACTCTGAAATGCAGTTAGCAGCAACTATAGAACAAAGCAAGTAGTCTGTTTACCATTTCTCATTACCAGAAGATTTTTCTCCCATTTTTTGGTATTAGGTGTATGAATCCATTCCTATGCCAATGTTAATTTTTTAACTGAAAATAACAATGACTTTAAGACCTTTCCACAGTTGATTTTATTTTGCTCTTTGTTAGGATTTCAGTGTCATATGTGGTTGACTTCTAGATTTTTGGGGGGACAAGTTTCTTGAATATGATTGGCTACATTGCATTTGCGATCATTTATTTGAGATCTGCATAAGGTAGACAATCATGATGAGTGGTTTAGCCTTAAGTGTTTCAAAGTTACTTGCGACTAAAATTTTTTAACACTTTTATCTCTGCCAAATTATTGAAATGCCTGTGGAATTAAAAAGCATGCAAAGTAGACATCAAAAAGGACAAAATAGAATATGAAGAGAACATGCACTAGTGGAATTTAAATAATGCAATTCATTTTTAAGTACATCAGAAACTTAACTTACAGCTCAGTGGATCTACTGATTTTGCAAGATAAATAATTGAGAAGGGTAGGAACACTGCAGGAAATAAAAATGATTTTTCTGCATGAATTTCTTTCCTTTCTCTCTGCACCTTAGAGAGCAGAAAAGATGCCTTCTTTTACAGGAAATAAGTCAAGGTCAAGATATTGAACAAGATTATACTGGCATAATCAGAGAGAGAATCAAACTGGTCACGGATATTCATCCAAAAAATTCTGAGAGAAGTTAGGAATGTACCACACTGGCCTGCATGTAGAGAGTCCTTATTTTTTCAAACTGATATCCTTAATATTCATTCTCGCCAGCATACTTTTCTTGAGGATTACTGGCCTGAAGCATGTTTCCCTCCAATGGTGTATACCAAATATGGGCTCTAATGTGACTGAATTTGCATCACTCATTTAAAACTAATGCTAAAGTTATGGGATGCAGCTGTGGGGAGAAGAGGGTAGGGAGCCGCATGAGCTTACATCCCTTTCCCATTATGACATGTTAAATTGCTCAGAGGCTGTGCTTGAATTGCATCAAGTAAGCTAATGGCTACATTAACTGGCTGTAGCAGAGGTAGAACTTTTAAACAAACGTACAATACCTATCTAGTTAAATATGGTTCAGAAGTGCAGAAGGTAGATTGGATTTCTTCCGAGGGAAAAAATGCCTCATGTTCAGGACAATACAGTACAGAAGTAGCTGTGTTGTTGCTAACAAAGCATGTGTTCACTCATTTAAATCTGCTATTGTATCAGAACTCCAAAGGGAATTAAATGTCACTGTAGAGCTTTTAAAAGATATATGTGATCCTAACAGTTAGACCAGAAAGTTTTATGGTTTGTACCAGCTGCTTTATGTACCAGCAAAAAAAGAGAAGGGATGAGAGATTTATTTAAAAATAAATAAATAAATGAACAAAGTGAAAAACCAAATTGAGCCCACCCTTCATCTCTCTTCCCTGTCTGATATAAGTAAATAAAAAATAAATATTGCTGCCAGAATAGGAATTTAGAGTGGTTTCTGCAGTAGACATTGTGCTCCTGTAACACAGAAAATTGATAAAGAATGAAAAATTCTTTTTTTAATTAATTATTGGGCTGTGAACAAAGTCTTTGGGTTGGGACCTAGTTTAGAAGCAAAACTAAACAAAAATAGAAAGAATAGATGTTTTTGTGAGGTTATTTAATGTTAAGTTGCCAAGTGTTTTACTAGGATATTTTTTAAAAATAGTAATTATTTGAAAAAGGTGAGCATCAGAGTAACTTAATTCAATTATGCACCTATGTTGATCAGGGCAGTAGAAAAGGCTGAGAAGTTAAAGCAAATCTTAACCTGAGTAAATGAAGAGGCACATTAAAATGAATAGTTGCTACCACTTGAGCACACCGACTCTGAATTTCAGTAAGAACAGAGGTAATTGTTTTAGGAATCTGTGTATGAACATACCTGCCCAGTGAACAGGGACAAACCAACCTAGAAGGTGGGACAGATGAAGACCTTAAGTTGCTACACAGTGTTTTAATTTAATGATACATGAATGAATTTTTTTATAATACAAAAGCAAGAGGTAATTACAGATAAAATTAAGAGACTGAGAATATGGGCATGATGATAGCAAATGTTTTTAACAGAATCAAATTTATAGTATGATTAAAAAAATTCAGAAGCTATCATACAGAGCTTTGCAGAATTTGGGAGGATTAGATCTTTGTATAGAGAAGAACATCCACAGCAATGTTAGATTTTTTGCTCTTCCTCTGTCTCCCCAGAATGGTAAACAGATTTATGCTGAAAAGAGGTTATGAGGAGGTTCCTCTAGTTAAGTTTTGCTTAATTAATTTGCAGAGTGTTTGTACCCTCTCAGGTAGACATAATGCTGGACCAGACTGGACCACTAGTGTTTTCTGCCAACCATTTTTAATGCTCTGGGACCAATGTGCTGATATGTAACTAAAATGTGATTATGTACAGTCTGAAATATACTTTGTTGTTTGCAAACTATTTTATCATTGTCTTTTCCTACTCTACTTACAAACCTGCAAAATTTTAGTTACAGTATGCTGCAAATTAGATTTTTGATTTTTAAGCACAGTCTTATAACGCGCAATGTTGCATTGATGCTTGCTGAAATATACTACTGTTTTTTTAACTCATACTTAATAGTATTATTACTCTTTGCTTCTGAATACATTATTTCATAATAACTCTTTGAGGGATTATCTTACCTAATACCTAGGTATGCCAGGAAATAATGAGATTTTTAAATTTCCCAAGAGATTTTGCATTTTGTGCCAGCATCTTAAATTGAGACCTGGAAGTAATTTATATATTAACAGAGTAAATCTCCTGTCTAGTGGAGTAACTCAAGTGCTGCCCTTAAAGAAGGAATTCTTACACTAATTCAGAATCAAAATTTTTCATTATAACTTAGTCTTCCCTCTCCAGCTGAGTTAGCAGTTTAAGCTGGCCTGTGGGTCTGTTATTTCAGAAATGCTGTTCAGTGCAGTTTTAAAATTCAGGACAACATATTGTATATCGAGAGAATTTCCTCAAGAGTAACGGCACACACGTTAATTCAGTTTATAAAATGCTAATATTTATTTCTAGGAAAAAAGAATGTGAATGCAGTGATTTTTGGACTAGAGACAAATACACCATGCTCCATGAGGCAAATATTCTATGAAATAATACCTTTTTCTTAATATTCTGCATTTGCATTGTTTAATTAGCATTTCAATATATGGGCACCAGAATTTAAATGTAGCTAATGGCTATATTAGTATTATCACTTAGCTAGCTTCCCAAACTCTTTTATTTTCCTCTCACTGCATCTGTAAATAATGATTCTTGTCAGTAATTCTTTTAATATACTTTGTGCATGATCTTTCTGCCATCTACGCAAAAGTTAACTGTAAGGGCACCTAGTAAAATTGACTTAAATTTCTCAGTTTGTGAGGTTTACAATTACTCTCAATGATAGCTTGTTGTTCAGTGTGCTGCTGGTACATAGTGCAACTTTATAGATTTATTATTTTAATAGTCTTAACCTATAACAAAATAAAAATTATCCAAAATAACATCATGACTAAACCCACAGTACTTCACTAAGCTGTATTATGCCAACTGAGTTCTATCATGGCTTGAAGGCCATTAATGTTATAAAAGAAGAGTCATGGGCACAGACATGGCAATCTGAATTCAAGGAGAGCTAACCCCCATTATTCTGTTAATAAAATGCAGAGTTGCATCTTGTATTTCAGGTCTTGGTGTCCCATGAGGAATGCCCTAACAATTTATGACTGACTAACCTTGCTTATTCAGGGCATCCTTGGAGTACCTTGATAATACAAATATGGAGAAATAATACTTGAGATATACAGGTGATGGAATCTTCTGCAAAAGATTGCAAATGAAGAATAAAGTATACAGCAATTAACCCTGAAATAATGTTCTGGCAGAAGCCCAAAGTCCCCAGTCTTGTCTTTTGATATCTTAGACCGGTGTTAAGTTGTGTGAGAATGCAACTACAAAGGCTAGGTGAGGGACTAGTGCAGGGAGTTCAAGAAAATGAAAAGGGGCTACAGAGTAGAAATTTCAGAGCTGACCTTTGAGATTGTTTAGGGAATAATGTGAGACGAAGAGTCAGACTAGGACTAAGGGTGGGTTTATAAGCAGTTGAGTTGAGGCAGTTACTAATGAGGATAAGATAGAAAGCTCAGAGTTGGCAAAAGATTACTAGAGATGGGGAGAAAAATTATGAAGCCTGGAGAATGAGTGAGAAAAGAAGAAAGAATAAAGGAATGAAAAATGGCTATAGTATGAGTTAACTGTAAAGGAATTAATGATTCATGTTTAAAAAAAGAGTAAAAATACTGTGAAGAAAATGATTGATGCTTTTAAATAGGCAGATTACTAAATGTTAGAAAATAAAATATTCTTAAAATGAAATAGTAATTGAGACTAGATTATTGTAGCTGACACTATAGCTAGAGATGGCCAACAGAAATGCGGCAAAATTGAGGGAGAAAAAACCCAGATGTTTCAAAAGTAATTTTATAAAGACACATTTAATCCTTAAACTGATATGGAATAACTTGTCAAAGAAATCAGGGGGCAGCTATATTTTGAGAATCAAATAGTCAAGTACTGGTTTAGCGTTAGCATGTCTAATTCTGTTATGCATTGTTTTATGCCGTTTCAGAACCCTGTATGAATCATCCCTGAAAACTTTGGATGAACTTTTGAATCTTTGACCATACGGAAGCTTTTGTCATGGAAATTAAAGGAAAGAAGATGTATTGTTTTTGAAACCATAATATTATCTTGTAAGCATACTAATACCTAAAGTTTATATTCTGTTACTTTGTAGATTTAAAGTAAGCAAAATGTATAAAAGTGTATATAGGAATAATGTAAAGATTTTCAAATGTCTTTAAGAAGGATATACTGTATAAAATTGTTACATTTAGGGGGGAAGTAAAATGAATATCTTTATATGTGTTTTTTATTAAATAATAACCTCTCTAATACTTTGAGATTGAGGAAGCACATAACCTCAGTCCCTGGGAAGATTATGAAGCGTATTCATGGAGGTTATGGAAAACATTTCCAGACCCACAAAGAACTAAACGGTGATGTGGAATTCTCCAAGGAAAATTCTGCCTAACCGACTTGATTTCCTTCCTTTTGCAGACGAAGGGAGAGCAATGGATTCCATTTTTCTTGTTCTTAGCAAGGCTTTTGACACAGGCTCATATAGTATCCTTAGAGTTAAACTGCAGAGAGACAGATTGGATGGGTGGAACCACAAGGTGGGTGGAAAACAGGCTGGACATCAGCCTTGAAGAGCAAGGGTGCTGTGCAGTCCAAGCCTGTTACTAGTGACCTTACTCAGGGTAGATATTGTGTCCAATACTGTTTAACATCTTCATTTTAAAACTCGGGCAATGGGATGCAATGCACCCTCACTCAGTTTCAGATGACACCAAGTTTGGAGCAGTGGTTGATATGTCAAAGGGTAGGGTTGCCATTCAGAGGGAATCTTGACAGGCTGGAGGTAAGGGCTAACCTAAATCTCATGAAGTTCAACAAAGACACATGCAACATCCTCCACCTGGGATGGAATAGTCCTGTACACCAGCAAAAGCTGGGGGCCACCTGCCTGGAAGGTAGTTCTTTAGCAAGAATCTGGCTGTGCTGGTGGACAACTTGAACAGCAGCCAGCAGTGCATCTTTGCAGCAATGAAGTATGACCACAAACTGGGCTGCATTAGCCAGAGCCTAGCCAGTAGGTTGAGGGAAGTGATTATTCCTTTCTGTTTGGTGTTTGTGAGGGCTACATCTCACTGGATTACTGTGAACATTTGGGTTCCCCTCTACAAAAGGAAATAGCAACTGCAGAGAGACCAATGGAGCGCCACCAAGATGGCTAGGCGCTGGAGCACGTGGCAAGCAAGGACAAGCTGAGGAGTGTTCAACCTTGAGAAAAGAAGGATAAGTAAGGGAGGACCTTATTGCTGCCTTGTCCAGCCTAACAGAGGATTAAGGAAAGGCTTTTCAGAGGTGCACAGCAGGAGAACAAGAGGCAATGGACAGAAGTTGCAGCAAGAGGAATTCGTAGTGGACATGAAAGTTTCTTCGTGATGAGACTGAATTGAAATTGGAGATTGAACTGGAACAGGTCGCTCAGAGAGACTGTGGAACATCCATCCTTGGAGATGTGCTGAACTTGAGCTTCACTGAGCAAGTCCCTGACCAACCTGATCTAATTTTGATAGCCCTGCTTGAGTGGGGGGTTGGACCAGATTACCTCCTGAGCTTTCTCCTAACCTAAATTATTCTGTGATTCTATTACAAGTATACTGGAGGAGAAGTGCCCCAGATATTAAATATATATTTGATAAATACATAAGTTGTTTTATATTTTGCTATTTTTATAAATTAAGACTAATGATGCAGATAATGCAGACATGTAAGCCCCTTATTTGACTTTGTTAATGCAACCAGATGCTTTCCTAAAACTAGTAATAGAATGTTGACTGCAGATTAAGTTATTTTGCCTTAACTAAGGCATCTATAATTTCAGTGTCTGAGCTCATAATGCTATATTTTTGTCTATTTTAGAAGGAGATCTAATAAGCATCTCTAAAAAAGGATTCAGCTACAGACTGTAAAAGGACCACCTTAGATTTTGGATATTTAACTCCTAGTTATCTACAATTAACCGAGATGATTCCCCCACCTTGTGTCTATACAAATGGTTCACTGGAGTCTCCAGTGTGTTACTGAGTGGCTTTGAAACTGCAGTTAGCAAGTTTGGCTAAACTAAGATGGACTCCTCATTCTTGATTAGGATCTGTGCACAGTGCCTTACCCCCTTGCAAATCATCTATCTAAATATAGGCATCTACTGTGCTATTTTTCTTTCTGTAGTTGGAGTTCATAAGATTTTTCTAGTATCTGTGCTCTCTCAAATGGGATAAACTAGCATTTCCCTGCTTTACACTCGATTCATATTTAGCCTTAGTGCACACCAGCTTCCCTACCGGAATAAAAGCTTAGTTGGAATGTCTGTATTTAAAAACAGTCATATACTTTATAAACAACTGTCAGACTTTGCAACAGGAAAATTGGTAGGTATATGGATAAGTGAATTCCAGAAGATTTACATTATCCACAACAGTAGCCTGAGCCAAAAAATTAATGCTGCCACAGCAGGCATCCGTAGATCTGCCAACTGTTTATCTATCAACATCTTTATATGTGTTCTTTGGCCTCCACTCTTCGACATCTGTTAACAGGCAGGTGTTCCAGTAATGACCTTTTAAATCTTCTAATTATACAAATTAGTTAATGAATATGTAAATCCATTTTTTTCTGCTTCTTATTCTTTCACTATTTGCTCATATTATTAGATTAGAAGAGAAACCATTATTTTCCTGTTTTTCCTCTGTGTGTTATACTGTTCTTTCAGTGGTCACTTCTCATGGAATATCTGTTACAGACCCAATATCCCAGAGCCTGAAAGAAGTAAAGGTAACTACCAACATGACAAAAATGCAAATTTCTTCTGAAGAAACTCAGAGGTGATATTGCTAGGAAGGGTAAGAAAATTTTAAAATAAACTTCTGACTTCCTGGTGGTGGGTACTCAAGTGGTTTTCAAAAGTGTTGAAATAGTTTTCAGTTAGCAGTGCAGCTGGTAAAATGCGGCTCGAGTTTTAGTCCAGCTATATTGTAACCGCTCAGACAGAATGAAAATCGTTGGCTTTCTGCAACAGAAGTAATGATGTTGTCAGGATTTCTTGAGTCCAAGTCTGCCAGTGCTTTCTCCTTGGGACTTTGTGGAAATTTTCACACCGATACAATAGGATTTTTAGGTTTTATTCTCTGTTCTCATTGCAAAAGTATCTAACTCTTGCCAACATGTTAAATCTGTGCATTTTTCTTATGTTCAAGATATAAGTAGTATGTGCCTTAGACTGAATTATTTTTTGGAAACCTGTAAAGCAGAGAATTGTTTTATCTTACTAATTTAAAATTTGGGGGAGAGCGGTTGTTTTTGTTTTTTTTTCTCATTATAGCCTAATTTTGACCTTCAGAACAGTTTATTCAGCTAGCTGCACTATACACACTGTACGTTTGAAAACTTATAATTTTAAAGCAGCTCCTTTGAGATCTGTTCAGCCTTTGCAGGAAATTGAACTTGGTTTTGATTAATAAAATTGTTTGAAATATGAAGAAGATATGCTATTCAAAGACATTCCTTCGAGCAGTTTTGATTTCTAGTCACAGTTGTGCCTGTAAATGGCATGCCTATTAGCCCTTCCCTTTCTGCATACCTATCCAGTATTACTATTACTGAATAAAGAAATAGCTTCAAGCTATCTGCAGTAGTGTGAAAGTCTTTCTTTTTCCTCTTGTTTTCCCCAGTCAAGTCTTCTATGTTTAAGCTTTATTTGTACGGACTTCCCTTTTCTGGATGACAATGTTTGTTTGCTTTGTCTCTGACTGACAAACAAAATCCAGCAGTTCCACCTGTCACAGCTTCAAATTATGAGCTAAAGAAAAGCCAGAAGACGCTCTCAAGATGCTTCTTTAGCAAAAAATGTCTTGGAGTATGGATCTGCGCACACAGACTTCCACTCCAGACCTTTCATACTTGCCAAGGAAGAGAAGAAATCTGCCTCGCATCTGCTGCTTACTCCAGCGCTAGCTGCAAAGCGCTTTGCATTTAAACTCACATTTGCTGTTGCCATCAATTGTTTTGAGGTCTTCTGGTTTGGAGAAAGATACCAGAGAGAACGTCAGCACTGTCCCAACTCTGAAGGGTCAGGCTGCATTTGCTATTTCTGGTAAGGGAGGAGGGAGGAACTAACTTTTAGTCTTTTATTAGATTTTTTTGTTTGTTTGTTTGTTTTTGTTTTTACAATATCTTCTATCAGCAGATTTTAGAAAGTTTACTTCTGTTAAGACCAAAAAAGACCTGTTAAATCAGTCTAACTGCAATGAGACTGAGAACTGTTTGATGCAAGAAAATGAGAGATGTTATCAAGGGACCTATTTACAGCTGTCCGATTCTCTGATTTGATATACGCTGGACTAAATGCCAATATCTGGCTCCTGAGCCATGGCATGTCAGTCTGCCTCTGGGGAATTCTTATAGTCCCAGTTAAGACCACAGCGCCTTGAACTGCGTGAGCAGCACAGAGTGATCAGGGAACACAGCTTGTAGTTTTTAATTTATCGGTGTATCATCATTTGTTGACTGAATACCTAAAAGTAAGCTTTTCAATTCAATATGATCTAATATTAGAAAGTACGCTGTGCTCTCTGATGAAAGACTCTCCCAGGCAATTAGCATTCTGGACAGGTGTCATGCTTTTGGCTCCTTAAGTATGTTGACTTTGTGGAAAAATAGGTCTTTTTTTTTTTTTTTAATTTTGGTGAGGGGAAGAGAAGAATACTTTTTTCACAACCCTACTGTGAAGACCATCTTCATCCCTTCAATTCTTATAGCCTCTCTGTTTCAGGTCAAGTTTAGGACAACTCTTTTATCTCTAATTTTTTTGAACTTCTAATGAACGAAAAATGCCTGTTACAAAGTATATTTCTTTCTTGGTATTTTTTCTAACTTTGTGGATTTCTTTCAAGCACAGAGGACCAAGGTCAGGCTGACACCCTAGGTAGTTCCTAGTAAATCATGTGGAGCACCTGTGAAGAAAGGAATTTGCCTTAATGAATCCCAGATCCAGCTGTCTTGTGTCTCACTAGACTTCTTCTGCATGGCTGCTGTTGCTCAGGGGGTAAACTCCCAGCCATATCATGCCTGCTTGCCCCGTGTTTTCTAGGGTAGGAGTTGTGGACCCCGTCATAATTTTCTCAGACAAAAGGTGGTAACAGCAGGTTTGTGATGGCGTTGTGATTGCTATAGTGGCCTGTTTTTTCCAAGTTGGTAGTTGCTCAGTGGCCTCACTGAGCACAATGGAGCAACATTTATTGCATAAGAACAGAATTCTCTGTGACTCAAGCACTCAGTCACGTGGAGCAGATGCTCCATTTTACAGAGGAGAAAAGTTCATGGAAAATGCTCAGCCTAGGAGAAGATTCCCTTGAGAAGTCAAGTAGATGTTTTTGTTTGGTCTTTGATGCTGTATCAGAACACTGTGAACTGTAACACAGCAAATTGAAGACTTTTAAAGATAGTGATTCAGAAAAGAAAAAGCATCCTGCCTCTTCTATTATTCAACTTCTAATAGTTGAATTCTAATAGTTGAATAGTCACCAAAACCTATGAATATTCTTAATGTAATCTTGTACTTACAAAGACACAGAATGTAATTTCAGTGCAGTACAAGTAACGTTCCTTTTCCCAGCTGTCATTACCATGAACTTTTCCCACATCTCTTTCCTGGTCACAGCATATCATCAGTAACCTTCCTTTGAAAGAAACACATCATATGCAATGGCCCAAACAGTCTTGTACACTGAGATACCAGAATGCCCTAGGCAAGACTAGACAGTGTGTACTCCATTTCTATTATTTGCTATTCAAAATAACCCATGTCAATAAACATCAGGCTTAAAAACTACAGTGAAAATAAACGGAGCTCAGTTGTTCTTGCTGCATTCTAAATTGCTGTCAAACATATTGCTGAATTCTAGATTTCCTGCTAGTATGTATCTCAATGATACTCCAAGTTTACAGACGTACAAGAGAGAGAGAGCAATTACAGTAAGCAGAACAACACTGTTTTCCAGAAAAAAACAGGAGAGGATAAGCTTAACCCAAAAATGTATCATGGCTTCAATAATAGGCAGCCCAAGAGAGAGATGTGCTGCAGAGAAAAATGGGGGATAGTACAAACGGCTTCTTCGTCGTTTGTCCGCTCTTATTCCTGTATTTATATGACCTGTGGAGCAGCGGTCTCTGCTGGCTCCTGCACCTCAGTGGTCTTCAGGTCTCCCACCTGCAGAGGTACAGAGGTGAGCAGACCCAGCTACCCAGCACCTCTCACCATCACAGCAACAGGCTGGAGATGCAAGTATTCACATTCTATGCTCTGTGAAATCAGATTCTCCCTTGTATGTAACGTATAAAAGCATGCTTTAAGAATATTATTCGAACTGAAAATTTAGGCACTCAGAAGTCAAGAAACATGAATTTAATCTCACCTTTGAGCATGTGCAAAATGACATGTTCTCTTCAATTACATTAGTAAATGCTACTTATTTCACACAAACTGTTCCTTACTGAGTTCTCAGCCTCTGTCTACTCAACAGATGATTCAAAACCCACGCTGTTGACAACACAGCAAATATTCAGTGCTTTCCTCTCTCCTCATAGTTCAACATATAGCTCTACACATAATCTGCTGCACATTATTCAAACCCAGCTCTGAGGACAAGATTGCTAACTTCCACAATGCTGTTGTTACTATGGTACTATCCACAGCTGTACTGGAGAGTTTCACAAAGAATGATTCATTTGTCCTTCCCGCTCCCTGTAGGTTTTCTTGTCTCCGTTTTACAAACGTATAGTGAGATGAAGTTAAACAATTTCTACGCGTTTTGGGAAGTCAGTACTTGGTGTCACGTTATATATAGCATTTGCTAGCACGAAGCACAGCTCTTACTGTCTCCAACTAGTTGTGGGTGCTAAGCGTGCTTTGAATCAGACTTCAGGTTACCAAGTCAGATACACAGAAAAATGAGGTATGCCTAAATAGAGCTCCCCAGGTTTATTAATTTACAAGGTAAATTAATAGCTGTGTTATAAATATGTAATATAAGAAAGAAATAAATGGCATTTAGAGAAATGGTGTTTAAGTTGCAACCTAAAAAACAGCTTTTGAGTAAGATATATGTTATAGGTATAGGTATTCAGAAATAGTCTCCAAGTTTAAGAGAATTAGCTCTCATTTTCTGGTAGCTGCTAGAATCTCAAAGTTATCTATGTTATGAAACAACATATATGTGTGTGTAGTTTAATAATGTTAGGCAATATCAGTTTGAATGTGTGTAGCTGTTACAGAGACACCTTCTATTTCTAAAGGGCAAAAATAAATTTCCAGTTGCTGCAATGTAGCGGAATGGCATAAATTGGTATCTTAGGTGAGGGAAGAGAGAGTCCTGTTTTAAAATGCTAACATCTGGAAAAAAAAAAAAACAACTAGTTGGAAGTTAACCAAAGGACTCTGACAGCTGCCTAGAAGAATCTGTTTAATGTTGGTTTGTTCAATATCTGTGCTATAATATATACGAGTTGCTGTTATAATATTTTTGTTTTTCAGAATTTTTAATTTCTAAGTCTTGCAGGACAAAGTGATTGAATCAACTGCAGGTCTATTCTTTCAGAATGATAAAGTGCATTAATCTCATTCATCCTTTAATTTAGCACAAGAAGAGTGGATATCTTAGGGGATTAATTATAGGTTATAAGATCCATTCACTGAGTAGAAAATCTTAAACGTAATAGTGAAGATAGGTAAAAGTAGAACTTTTAAAGCGTTTCCGACTTCTCTCCCCATTGAACATCTCAAAGCACCTAACTCATTTAAAAATTCGACTCTCTATTGCTGTTTCAAATCAACTGTGATCGATTGCACATCTAGTGGTGTTAGCCTGGTTCTCAAAGAACAAGAATCCACTCACAAAAACAGTTATTAATGTCTAATAATTTAACCCGGATATACCACCTTGATATGCTCAGATGCTGGCTTTTCAAATGTGCTAAGAACTCTAAACGCCTGTGGAAATCAGTAGGAATTCAGGTGTTCTTGATTTTGAAATCTGCCTCCAAGGGCTTCAAAGTAGGTAAGCCACAGAGGTTAGCTTCTACATTGATTTCAGCTGATGATGGGCATTGTGAAGAAATAAAGCCTTTCTCATTTAAAAGAGGCCAGTTCTAGTGTGAGCCAGTAACCTGCGTGTGTTCTCATAGAGGCTGTTGTGATCTCAGTGAAGCACAAATTCCCTTTCACAGCCTAACCCTAGATACAAAGATTTCATAACTGGCCTCAGATTTTGGATTCACCAGTTCTTTTATCCCCATCTTGAGAGACATAGGGCCTGTTCATCACAGATTCTGAATATCCATTTATTGTTAGTTGTTTCATGCCATCTTTTTCTTCCTTTCAGCCAAATTTATATCAAGCACAGCTTCAATCCCCCTTTTAATCTAGGTATCTCCATAACTGATATTGGAACAAGTCAGCTATAATTCTAAATGGACCTCAGGTGAATAATACAGGTTCAGTTCAGAC